GTATTCTATACCATCCTACCATTCAAACATAACAAAATTTATTCAAATTTGTCGGATTCTGGACCACCTGTCCTCACGGCTCATTCGGGTAAATAAAAATAGTATTTGACTGATTCTGGCACCAACCCTCCGGCTCAGTCTAGCCAATATATAACGTCTTAGGACTGATTCTGGGCATCAGCCCTTAGGCTCAGTCTGACCCACACACGTCACAACACACTACTTTCATTCTCTCTCTCTCTTTGTATATATATTTTTCTAAAATAATTTCCGAAATCATTTCCGAAACTATTTTCGAAACTATTTTTGAAATCATTTTCGAAATTATTAAATTACTATTTTTCCCTTAATCTTTTCTTTAAATTCCATGTATGTCCCTAAATGACTATTTTACCCTTGGACATTTTTGAAAATTCCTTCCATGTCTCGAAAATGACTATTTTGCCCTTGGACATTTTTAAAAATTCCTTCCATGTCCCGAAAATGACTATTTTACCCTTGAACAATTTCAAAAATTCCATTTATGTCCCTAGAATGTAAAATGACTATTTTGCCCTTGAACATTTTCAAAAATTACATTTATGTCCCTATGATGTAAAATGACTATTTTACCCTTGATCTTTTTAAAAAATCCCCACCATATTCCTTTCTTCTTCCTTCTCCCATTAACGAGTGTCGAATTTTGCAGATTTTGACAGATTTAAAATTACTCGGTTTTAGACAACCAAACCGGTCCCAAATCGAAATTAAACATGAATTATATCTAATTTAAGTTGAAAACAACAATTTTACCATATAATTCATCCTTAATTTCAAGAATTTAATCAATATTTAAAACTTTGCAAAATATGAATAGTAATCACCTCCAGTACGCCATTTTCAAAATCCAGGTTTCAAATTTCTCAGTTTCTATCACCCAAATTAGTTCCAAATCAAAATTAAACCATAAACATGTTCAATTTAAGTTAAAAACAAAAATTTTATTATATAATTCATCCTTAATTTCAAGAATTTCAAAAACTTTCAAACGGTCATCAAAATAAAAAATTCTTCTAAATCAGACATTCAAATAATTCATATCTCTACTCTTATTCCTTATTCACGAGTACCCAACAATTCAATTTCATATATTGAATGAATTAAACTTCCCTTACCTGGTGTGGTATTTCTACCGAAGCTTTCCAGCTTAATTCAAGCTCTCTTCAGTTTCACCGGATCCCGCACGAGTAGAGTCTCGTTGCTTGAAATTTAGACAATAGAAGAAGAAGGATGAGAGGAAATTTTTATTCCGCCTCCTCCCAGCTTCGATACGCGCATATATAAAAGCAAAAATTTACTGTGCATGAGGAAAACTTCGTTACGAAGTTTTCTTGCACGATACTCTTATTATAATATAAAAAAAACATACGTCACAATTTTCATAATTTTTGTATTTTTTATCTACACATATTTTAATTTTTTTACTAATTTAATAATATTTTTTCTTTTCAACATTTTCATTTTCAACATATTTTTGGGATTAAAATGTTTTTTTATGTAATATTTTTAAATCAATCGTAAATTATTTCAAATATATATATATATATATATATATATGTTATATTTGTTTTTATAATTAGATTCTTTATATATTTTTTATTGTTAATTTTTCAGTTATTTTCATCATTTCTGTATTTTATCTTCTAAATATATTTTTGAAACTATACGGTTTAAATTTAAAAATGAATCAGAAATTATATTTTTTTAATGAAAAATATTTTAATCTTTCTACTAATTTTATGATATTTTCTCTTCTTACAACATTTGTTTTTAATATATTTTTTGGACTAATATGTTTCTCTTTATATATTATTTTTAAATCTTTGTTAGTCTCTCTCTCTCTCTCTATATATATATATATATTAAAAATTTTAATATTAATCTTTTTATTTATTTATCATACACAGAAGATGTTTGTTTTGATCATAATATTTTGAGTATATACGTTTAAATATTTTCCAAAGATTTTTAGATTGTTCATATATTTTTTATTTAAATATATTTTACTGTTTCTATTCTAGTTATTTTCATCATCTTATATTTTATTATTCAAAATCATCTTTCAAATTAAAATATTTCAGAATTTATATTTTTTATAAAAAGTATTTTAATCTTGTTTACTAATTTCATACTATTTTATCCTTTCAACTTTTTTTACTAGTATGATTCTTTTTACATATTGTTTTTAAATCTTTCTGAAATTGTTTATATGCTATTTTTTTAATGCTTTAACTTTTGATTATTTATTGTATATTTGAGACATTTTAAAATTTAAATGGTACAGTTTCAAAAATATTTTTAAATGATAAAATACAAAAATGGTGAAAATAACTAGAATAATAAAAATAAAACCTAATTAAAAAAATATATATACAGAATTTAAATGTTAAAAAAATGATAAAAAATATACTAAAAAATTTTAGTCAAATATTAATAAATAAGTTTTAAGAAAATAAATTTGTTGAGACATTTTAAAATTTAAATTGTATAATTTCAAAAATATTTTTAAATGATAAAATAAAAGAATGGTGAAAATAACTAGAATAATAACATTAAAACCTAATTGAAAAAATATACTGAAAATAATATAATCAAAATAGGCACAGTCAAATATTAATAAATAAGTTATATGAAAATAAAATTTTTGAGACATTTTAAATTTTAATTGTATAGTTTTAAAAATATTTTTAAATTAAAAAAATACAAGAATAGTAAAAATAACTAGAATAATAAAAGTAAACCTAATTTAAAAAACATATACAGTATTTAAATGTTAAAAAATGATAAAAATATACTAAAAAGAATATGATCAAAATAAATATAGTCAAATATTAATAAATGAGTTATAAGAAAATAAAATTTCTAAAACATTTTAAAATTTAAATTGTATAGATTCAAAAATATTTTTAAGTGATAAAATACAAGAATAGTAAAAATAACTACAATAATAAAAATAAAACCTATAATTTAAAAAATATATACATAATTTAAATGTTAAGAAAATGATAAAAAATATTTTAAAAAAATGATCAAAATAAATATAGTAAAATATTAATAAATAAGTTATAAGAAAATAAAATTTGTGAGACATTTTAAAATATAAATTGTTTGATTCAAAAATATTTTTAAATGATAAAATACAATAATACTTAAAATAATTAGAATAATAACAGTAAAACTTAATTAAAAAATATATATACGGACTTTAAATGATAAAAAATATACTAAAAAGAATATGATCAAAATAAATATATTCAAATATTAATAAATAAATTATAAAAAAATAAAATTTCTAAAACATTAGAGTGTTCGAACATGGATTTTAAATCCATTATATAACTACTATCTTCCCTTAATTCTTTATCCAAAGGTGAAATTTTTTCAAGATTTATTATTTTCATTGATTCAATATTTTTTACATAAGTTAGCTAGCAGTCAATGACTTGAACTTCAGAATTGTTAGTTGGACTTCTCAATTTAAATTTCTTATGTTCAGGAGTTATCTTCTCAATCATTTTTATGAAATTTTTTAGACTTTCACCTTGTCTCATGTTAACAACGATAATCAATGTGAGATGATACGCTGGTGGCGAATTATATTCTAAATTTGATCATCAAAGTTTCGAAACAATTCGTCGAGTTATTTTTTTAGTATATCAAATTTTCATAATTTTTTTTCTAAACTTGTTTATATTATTTACATTTTATTTTTTTAAACCTTTTTAAAATGATGATACAATTTCAGAATATTTTGTATTTTTAAAAATAACTGTTTTACTGTTAATATCTACTTATTATCCTTCGTTTTTTTCCTTAATTCTTCCAACGTTATTTTTTTATTATTATTTGTTTGTTGATTTGGTTTTAATAATTATTAACTAACTCCCATCTAATATATTATATATTTAAAATTTAAATAATTGATTATTTTAATTTATAATTAAATTAAATATTCATAAATTAACCAAAGTGAGAAAATAGACTCTGGCAAACTATATAAGACCCATCACTAATACTCGGTTAGTTCCTTACCAACGAGCTCTTTGAGAGAACGAACAGGCGGTTGATTTCAACGTCGGAGAAGAGGAGGCAGCGGTTCGGTCTCTTAAATAAGACTTTGTTCATCTTGTCGAATAAACCTTGGTCCTGTATCTTGATTCAAGGTTCGCATACAGAAGGAATTCATCCCAATCTGGAAAGGTACATGATATTGTGCAGTAAACATAAAGATTGGTCTGAAACTTATGAGCAGCAGCAAGGTAAGTTCGCATCAAGACCCTAATTTCACTGATTTATTTTCCTTTCTTCTTCTTCTTCTCTCGCCTTCATCAATTTCTCATTTCGTATTCTCTCAATCAAGATTTCATTATGACATTGAATGGTAGGTACCGATAGTTCGAAATCCTAAACCGATGTTATTCTGTCAGTTTTATTCTATTGGTGGGGATTTTATTATTTTGGTTTAATGATGTTGAACTCTGTAAACTTGTTCGCAGGAATCTAACGTTTTGTGTGATTGATTTATACTTTACCAGAATGATAAATATCCAAATTCAAGATCTATTATTGAAGTTCTTGATAGGTATTGGTTTCAAAATTTAAGTTGAATAGATAAATTTCATCTAGTACTCAGGATTTAGTATTTAGCCTTGTATCTCACTAATTTCTTTTACTTAGATTTGAGCAATTCTAAATTAATTTTACAAATGAGAAGCTGCATCAACATTTTGGTTTGGTAATTTCTGGTTGAAATTTGTGGTCTATATTCTATAATTCTTTCTTTTCCGTTGAAAAATGATGGAGTGATCGACAAGTTTGCTGAGGCTGGACTCCGTTAGGTGTTGTTAGACAGGTTAGCCAAGCTGATATGTAACATTCTCTTCCCCAACCTATTAATTATTTGAATAACTTGAAAAAAAATAAGGATACTCCTGGTGTACCAATAACCTTGTAATGTTAAGATGATTACTGGTAAGATTGGAAGGAGGCCTCACGTTGTTGCAGTTCATGTTTTACGTTACTAATGAAATCATGTAACTTACAAACATTTCTTCGGTTTGTCGTTCTCTACGTGATCGGCTTGCATTGCCAAGGAAACTGGCCGAAGGTACCCATCTTTTTCAGTGCTTGGCGAAAGCAATATGATGTTTCTGTTTCAGCTCTTCCAGTCGAAAAATTGATTGTGAAAGCTGATGGATTGGGTGAAGAATTTCCTGGTTGGTCATTTCATAGTAATAATAATGATAGCATCACACCATCACACATTTTCTCATTTTCATCTATTTTAGACATAATTTTCTTTGTAAGCTGATGACATGAGATTTCTTTTTTATGATACGAGAATATTTTAGTATGTATTTTTTTTAACATTTTTAGATTCTTTTTTTTTTTAATATTTGTTACTGTTAATTTTTTAGTAATTTTTATCATTCTTGTATTTTCTTATTCAAAACTATTTTTGAAATTGTACTTTTTAAATTTAAAATTTTTTAAAAATTATATTTTCTTATAGAAAGTATTTTAATCATTTTTAATATTTTATCTTTTGAACATATTTATTTTTAAACTTATTTTTTGGAGTAATATGTTTATTTTTATATATTATTTTGAAATCTTTCCTAAGTTGTTTATATTTTATTTTTTTAACACTTTTATTAATAATGTTTCATTTTATTTATTATATATTGAATATACTTATTTTGATCATAATTTTTTTTAGGAGATCTGTTTAAATATTTTTCCAACATTTTTACATTCTTATATTTTATTTAAATATATTTTATTGTTTATATTCTAGTTATTTTCATCATTCTTGTATTTTATTATTTAAAATCATTTCTGAAATTAAAATATTTCAAAAATTATTGTATAGTATTTTAATCTTTTATACTAATTTCATAATTTTTTTTGAACATTTTTTTTTGAACATATTGGACTAGTATCTTTCTCTTTTTACATATCATTTTAAATATTTCTTACATTATTTATACTTTTTTTTAACATTTTTACTTCTAATGTTTCATCTTATTTATTAACTATTAAATATATTTATCCTGATTATAATTTAGACAATATATTTAATTTTTCAACATTTTCAGGTTTTTTTATATATACATTTTTTTAAAATTATTTTTATTATTTTAGTTATTTCTATCATTCTTGTATTTTATTATTTAGAATTGTTTTTGAAACTATACTAATTCAATTTAAAATTGCTTCGGAGGTTATATTTGTTTATAGAAAGTATTTTAATATTTTCTACTAATTTTCTAATATTTTCTCCTTTTAACATTTTTATTTTGAACATATTTATTTGACTAATATCTTCTTAAATATTTCTTACATTGTTTATATATATTTTTTAACACTTTTACTTCTAATGTTTCAGCTTGTTTATTAACCATTGAATATATTTATCCTTATTATAATTTTGACAGTTTATTTAATTTTTTAACATTTTCAGTTTTTTTATACATACATTTCTTTAAAAATGATTGTTATTATTTTAGTTATTTCCATCATTCTTGTATTTTATTATTTAGAATTGTTTTTGAAACTATACTAATTCAATTTAAAATTGTTTCAGAGGTTATATTTGTTTATAAAAAGTATTTTAATATTTTTTCTAATTTCCTAATATTTTCTCCTTTTAACATTTTTATTTTGAACATATCTATTGGACTATAGTATCTTTCTTTTTTTACATTTTGTTTTTAAATATTTCTTACACTATTTATTCTTTTTTTTAAGACTTTTACTTCTAATGATTCATCTTGTTTATTAACTATTGAATATATTTATTTTGATTATAATTTTGACAGTATATTTAATTTTTCAACATTTTCAGGTTTTTTATACATGCATTTCTTTAAAAATGATTGTTATTATGTTAGTTATTTCCACCGTTCTTGTATTTTATTATTTAGAATTATTTTTGAAACTATACTAATTCAATTTAAAATTGTTTCAGAGATTATATTTTGTCACAGAAAGTATTTTAATACTTTTTACTAATTTCCTAATATTTTATCCTTTGAGCATTTTTATTTTGAACATATTTTCCTAATATATAATATTTTAATTATATATGTTTCTTTTTACGTATAGTTTTTTTTAAATCTTTCTTTGATTGATTATATTTTATCTTTTTAACACTATTATTATTAACATTTCATCTTATTTATTATATATTGAATATATTTATTTTAATCTTAATTTTTTAGTAAGTTTCTTTTAAAACATTTTTAGATTCATTATATTTATTTTTGAAATATTTTTCACTGTTAATATTTTAGTTATTTTCATCATTCTTGTATTTTATTATTTAAAAATATTTTTGAAACCAGATTTTATAGAAAAATATTTAACATACCTTGGTTGAATCCATAAGAATTGCAGTTAATCTTAACCAAAATTTAGATTATGATATGAATCTATTGGGGAGTCTTCAAGATCTTATTCTGACCGTTTTATTCTATTGGTGGGGATTTTATTATTTTGGTTTAATGATGTTGAACTCTGTATTGTTGTATGTATGGTCTCAGTACCTGAAAAAAACAAGAATAGTCGTGGTGCACCATAGCAATTTGTTGGTCTACTACCACTTTTTAATCCCCAAGGCAGGATATATAATGCAGAAACTATCACAAGAGCTATGAACCTTGGTGGTGAATGTTAAGATGATTACTGGTAAGATTGGAGAGAGGGCTCACGTTGTTGCAGTTCATTTTTTATGTTACTTATGAAATCATGTAACTACACACATTTCGTGGGTTTGTTGTTCTCTAAGTGATCGACTTGTATTGCCAAAGAAATTGGCCGAAGGCCTGGGATGGGAACAAACATACCCGTCTTCAGACGGAACAAGGATGTTTCTGTTTAATGAGAATTTCCTGGTTGGTCCTTAACTTAACTTTATTTAAAATATACATTGTTCTGTACAAAAAAAAAACAATTTGATTCCCTTCATCTCTATACCTTAGGTACATCATGACAATATATCCAAGTTTCATGTGAAACCATCTGCATTACCAGACAGCTGGAAGCTGAGGGAAATATTTGTGACTGGTGTCGTGTTAGGCAGTTACTTTGCTTTAAATTGGAGCCTCAAATTACATTGTTATTTCTCTGGCTCATGAATGATACCGACTTCTTCTGACTAATAATTTATATTTTTGGTTTTCCTCAATATTTTCACCACCAGATGAATAAGTTTCATAATTGCAGGATAAGTTTCTTGACAAAGAAGAAATTGATTAGTTTCATAATTGCAGGATAAGTTTTCGATCTAATTGAGAAGGTATTTGATTGTTGTTGCCTCATGACAAATTTACACCCTCTGTTTTATTATCCAATAAATTCATGTAGTGATGATTTCTCATCCTTTTCCTGAAGGAATAATTGCATTTAAGGCTGCATCTTTAGGAATGACATCAGACATGGTTTTAAAATTTAACAGAAGTTAGCTGCATTAGCTTTTCTGAGGTTAGTTTCTCTTACTATCTTATTTACTTTTTTTTATGCTATCTCCAATCTATCAGCTTGCCATTGCCAAGAAAATGGGCCGAAGGTTAGGGATGGGAACAAACATATACCATCTTCTTCATTCTTGGCCAAAGCAATGTTTCAGCTCTTTCAGTTGATGAATTGATTAAGAAAGCGGATAATTTGCTGGAAGGGTATTTCCTAGTAGATCCTTGTCCATGAAACTAATCCTTGTTGTACTTGATAGCATCACACTATCACACATTTGTTTTTATTTTCATTTATTTTAGACATCCTTTTCATGTTCAACATTCATGGCTTCTTCGCAATCTGGTGACATGGGACTACTACTCTTGTTAACAATGCTAACTTTCATGGTCAAATGTTTAAAATAAAACATTTTAATCATTTTTTACTTTCTCTATGACACGGCAGAACACAAATATGAAATAGTGGAGAGGGTGTTAAACAGTAAGCATATATGTGAAATGACAGTTGATGATGCAACGATGCCCCTGCATTAAAGAAAGCATACACTTGAATTGTTTGTTGCTGACTGTGCTAGAAGTGTTTCTGACATTGCCCTCACTGAACTTGATCTAAATGTGATTATTAGTACAGAGCTCACCAGCAGGGCAATTTCCCAGATGATGAAGAATTATAGTGTTAGTTTCGTTGCATGCATGATTTAATTGCTTTAATTTATTTTAATATATAAATAATCCAACTCAAAAGTTCTGATTATAACAGATCTATGCTGTGTCAATCACCATTCATAGAGTGGTAGGTGCAGAACATGTTTGGTTGCATTTTTATTGCATCGATTTCGAAATTTGATTTTTCATCCTTCGGTATTGATTATTGCTATACTAAATGATGGTAAGATAACAATTATTTAACCTTGATTCTGTTTGTATACACTATTCTGTGAAAGAAAAAACTTGTTTATATACACTCTTCAAAGAAATAACTTGATTCCCTTCATCTCTATACCTTAGGGGTACATCATGACAATATCCAAGTTTCATGTGAAACCATCTCCACTACCAGACAGCTGGAAGCTGAGGCAAATATTTGTGACTGGTGTTGTGTTAGGCAGTTACTTTGCTTTTAAATTGGAGCCTCAAATGACTGTTATCTTTCTGCCTCATGAATGATACCGACTTCTTCTGGGTAATAAATAATTTATATTTTTTCCTCAGTATTGTCATCACCAAATGGAGTAAAAATTGTGATAGCTATAACCACAGTTTTCATAATTGCAGGATAAGTTTGTTGACAAATAAGAAATTAATTGGATTTACATAACGAAGATGTTTCGATCTAATTGAGAAGGTATTTTATTGTTGCTGCCTCGTGACAAATACTCTCTGTTTTACTATCCAATAAATTCATGCAGTGATGATTTCTCAACCTTTTCCTACAGTAATAATTGTATTTCTTAGTGAAGGCTGCATCTTTGGGAGTAACATCTGACATGGTTTAACAGAAGCGAACTGCATTAGCTTTTCTGAGGTTAGTTTCTCTTACTATCTTCTTTCCTATATGCTATCTATCTCCAATCTATTAAGAGTTAAACATGAAGCATTGCTTAAACTGTCTAATTTGTTTGGAGTCGCGTTAGCCTCCATGATATGACATAGCAATATGTTTCATAATATTTATCAAATTTACACATTGTCAAACTATTTTTACAATATCCATTATGCAGGGAGACATATATTTTTTATTTTCATTTTCAACATATTTTTGGGATTAGAATGTTTATGATGTATTGTTTTTAAATCATTCTTAACTTATTTCATATATATATATATATATATATATTAATTCTTTATATATATTTTGTATGGTTAACTTTTTAGTTATTTTCATCATTCTTGTATTTTATCATTTAAAAATATTTTTGAAACTCTACTCTTTAAATTTAAAAAATTTCAGAAATTATATTTTTTACAAAAAGTATTTCAATCTCTCCTACTAATTCAATATTTTATTTTTAACGTAGTTTTTGAACCAGTATATTTCTTTTTACATATTATTTTTAAGTCTTTCTTACATTATTTATATTTTATTTTTCTTATCACATTTTTACTGTTAATGTTTGATCTTATTAATTATATAATGAGTTGATCATATATTTTTAATATGTCTTTTTTTAAACATTTTTTCAACATTTTCAGATTCTTTACGTTTTTTAAAAATATTTGTTACTGTTAAAATTCTAGCTATTTTTAACATTCTTGTATTTTCTTATTTAAAAATATTTTTGAAACTATACTTTTTAAATTTAAAAATGTTCCAGAAATTATATTTTCTTATAGAAAGTATTTTAATATTTTGTACTAATTTTATAAATTTTTCTTTTTTGAACATTTTTATTTTAAATATTTTTTTGGACTAATAGGTTTATTTTTATATATTATTTTGAAATCTTACCTACGTTGTTTATATTTTATTTTTTTAACACTTTTACAAATGATGTTTCATTTTATTTATTATACATTGAAATACTTATTTGGATCATAATTTTATGAGTAGATCTGTTTAAATATTTCTCGAACATTTTTAGATGCTTTATATTATTATTTAAATATATTTTACTGTTTATTTTTTAGTTATTTTCATCATTCTTGTATTTTATTATTTAAAATCATTTTTAAAATTAAAATGTTTCAAAAATTATATTTTATATAAAAATTATTTTAATATTTTGTATTAATTTTATAATATTTTTTCTTTAGAAAAATTAAAATCGTTTTTTTTTTTACCTTTGGTTAAATTTGAAATTCTTTATGGATTATAGAATGATCTTGATGACCTACTGAAATTGTAATATTTTTTTTTGTTGAAAATAATTGAAATATTGTATGATTTCAAAAATAAGCATCAATTACTCTTGTTCTTGTTGGAAATACACTCTTAGCTGTTTTTAATAATCTAAAGCTAAATTTGAATTTCTTTATGAATTCAAAAATATCATTCTTAGTTTAATCAGAAATTTGGTATTCTTTAATTAATTAAAAATTGATCTGAATGACCTAATTGATATTGTTATGATTTTTTTGTTCATAACTTTAAACCATTTTCATAATCTTTTTGTAATACGTTTTGAGAATTTTTTTAATTTAATTTTTAGATTTTTGATGTTTTTTACTAGTCATTTTCATCATTCTTGTGTGTGTGTGTTTTTTTATCTACAAATATTTTAATCTTTTCTACTAATTTCATAATATTCTCTCTTTTCAACATATTTTTGGGTTAGATTGTTTTTTATATTTAGATTCTTTATTCATTTTTGAAATATTTTTTACTGTTAATTTTCTACTTATTTACATTATTCTTGTATTTTATTATTTAAAAATATTTTTTCAGACTATACTGTTTAAATTTAAAAATCATCAGAAATTATATATTTTTATAAGAAGTATTTTAATCTTGTTAAGATATTTTCTCTTTTTTAACATGTTTCTCTTTTTTTATATATATTAAATATACTTATTTTGATCATAAGTATATTTTTATTATTTTTGTATTTTATTATTTAAAAATATTTTTCAGACTATACATCCTGGGATTTTATTTGAAATTTTATTTTTAGATTTTTATATATTTTTTTATTAGTAATTTTCATAATTTTTGTATTTTTTATCTACACATATTTTAATTTTTTTACTAATTGAATAATATTTTCTCTTTTCAACATTTTCATTTTCAACATATTTTTGGGATAAAATGTTTTTTTATGTAATATTTTTAAATCAATCGTAAATTATTTCAAATATATATATATATATATATATATATATATATGTTATATTTGTTTTTATAATTAGATTCTTTATATATTTTTTATTGTTAATTTTTCAGTTATTTTCATCATTTCTGTATTTTATCTTCTAAATATATTTTTGAAACTATACGGTTTAAATTTAAAAATGAATCAGAAATTATATTTTTTTAATGAAAAATATTTTCATCTTTCTACTAATTTTATGATATTTTCTCTTCTTACAACATTTGTTTTTAATATATTTTTTGGACTAATATGTTTCTCTTTCTATATTATTTTTAAATCTTTGTTAGTCTGTTTATATATATATATATATATATATATATATATATATATATATATATATATATATATATATATTAAAAATTTTAATATTAATTTTTTTATTTATTTATCATACACGGAAGATGTTTGTTTTGATCATAATATTTTGAGTATATACGTTTAAATATTTTCCAAAGATTTTTAGATTGTTCATATATTTTTTATTTAAATATATTTTACTGTTTCTATTCTAGTTATTTTCATCATCTTATATTTTATTATTCAAAATCATCTTTCAAATTAAAATATTTCAGAATTTATATTTTTTATAAAAAGTATTTTAATCTTGTTTACTAATTTCATACTATTTTATCCTTTCAACTTTTTTTACTAGTATGATTCTTTTTACATATTGTTTTTAAATCTTTCTGAAATTTTTTATATGCTATTTTTTTAATGCTTTAACTTTTGATTATTTATTGTATATTTGAGACATTTTAAAATTTAAATGGTACAGTTTCAAAAATATTTTTAAATGATAAAATACAAAAATGGTGAAAATAATAATAACAATAAAACCTAATTAAAAAAATATATACAGAATTTAAATGTTAAAAAAAATGATAAAAAATATACTAAAAAAATTTAGTCAAATATTAATAAATAAGTTTTAAGAAAATAAATTTGTTGAGACATTTTAAAATTTAAATTGTATAATTTCAAAAATACTTTTAAATGATAAAATAAAAGAATGGTGAAAATAACTAGAATAATAACATTAAAACCTAATTGAAAAAATATACTGAAAATAATATAATCAAAATAGGCACAGTCAAATATTAATAAATAAGTTATATGAAAATAAAATTTTTGAGACATTTTAAATTTTAATTGTATAGTTTTAAAAATATTTTTAAATTAAAAAAAATACAAGAATAGTAAAAATAACTAGAATAATAAAACTAAACCTAATTTAAAAAACATATACAGTATTTAAATGTTAAAAAAATGATAAAAATATACTAAAAAGAATATGATCAAAATAAATATAGTCAAATATTATAAATGAGTTATAAGAAAATAAAATTTCTAAAACATTTTAAAATTTAAATTGTATAGATTCAAAAATATTTTTAAGTGATAAAATACAAGAATAGTAAAAATAACTACAATAATAAAAATAAAACCTATAATTTAAAAAATATATACATAATTTAAATGTTAAGAAAATGATAAAATAATACTTAAAATAATTAGAATAATAACCGTAAAACTTAATTAAAAAATATATATAGGGACTTTAAATGATAAAAAATATACTAAAAAGAATATGATCAAAATAAATATAGTCAAATATTAATATAAGTTATAAAAAAATAAAATTTCTAAAACATTATAGTGTTCCAACATGGATTTTAAATTCATTATATAACTACTATCACCCCTCAATTCTTTATCCAAACGTGAAATTTTTTCAAGATTTATTATTTTCATTGATTCAATATTTTTTAAATAAATTAGCTAGCAGCCATGACTTGAACTTCAGAATTGTTAACAGGACTTCTCAATTTAAATTTCTTATGTTGAGAGTTACCTTCCTAAAAACCTTTTTATGTAATTTTTTAGACTTTCACCTTGTCTCATGTTAACAACGATAATCAATGTGAGATGATGCGCTGGTGGCGAATTATATTCTAAACTTGATCATCAAAGTTTCGAAACAATTCGTTGAGTTATTTTTTTTAGTATATCAAATTTTAATAATTTTTTTCTAAACTTGTTTATATTATTTACATTTTATTTTTTTTAAACCTTTTTAAAATGATGATACAATTTCAGAATATTTTGTATTTTTAAAAATAACTGTTTTACTGTTAATATCTACTTATTATCCTTCGTTTTTTCCTTAATTCTTCCAACGTTATTTTTTTATTATTATTTGTTTGTTGATTTGGTTTTAATAATTATTAACTAACTCCCATCTAATATATTATATATTTAAAATTTAAATAATTGATTATTTTAATTTATAATTAAATTAAATATTCATAAATTAACCAAAGTGAGAAAATAGACTCTGGCAAACTATATAAGACCCATCACTAATACTCGGTTAGTTCCTTATACCAACGCGTTCTTTGAGAGAACGAACAGGCGGTTGATTTCAACGTCGGAGAAGAGGAGGCAGCGGTTCGGTCTCTTAAATAAGACTTTGTTCATCTTGTCGAATAAACCTTGGTCCTGTATCTTGATTCAAGGTTCGCATACAGAAGGAATTCATCCCAATCTGGAAAGGTACATGATATTATCCAGTAAACATAAAGATTGGTCTGAAACTTATGAGCAACAGCAAGGTAAGTTCGCATCAAGACCCTAATTTCACTGATTTATTTTCCTTTCTTCTTTTCTCGCCTTCATCAATTTCTCATTTCGTATTCTCTCAATCAAGATTTCATTATGACATTGAATGGTAGATACCGATAGTTCGAAATCCTAAACCGATGTTATTCTGGCAGTTTTATTCTATTGGTGGGGGATTTTATTATTTTGGTTTAACGATGTTGAACTCTGTAAACTTTGTTCGCAGGAATCTAACGTTTTGTGTGATTGATTTATACTTTACCAGAATAATAAATATCCAAATTCAAGATCTATTATTGAAGTTCTTGATAGGTATTGGTTTCAAAATTTAAGTTGAATAGATAAATTTCATCTAGTACTCAGGATTCAGTATTTAGCCTTGTATCTCACTAATTTCTTTTACTTAGATTTGAGCAATTCTAAATTAATTTTACAAATGAGAAGCTGCATCAACATTTTGGTTTGGTAATTTCTGGTTGAAATTTGTGGTCTATATTCTATAATTCTTTCCTTTTGTGTGTTGCTGAGGCTGGACTCCGTTAGGTGTTGTTAGACAGGTTAGCCAAGCTGATATGTAACATTCTCTTCCCCAACCTATTAATTATTTGAATAACTTGAAAAAAATAAGGATAACCAATAACCTTGTAATGTTAAGATGATTACTGGTAAGATTGGAGGGAGGCCTCACGTTGTTGCAGTTCATGTTTTACGTTACTAGTGAAATCATGTAACTTACAAACATTTTTTCGGTTTGTCGTTCTCTACGTGATCGGCTTGCATTGCCAAGGAAACTGGCCGAAGGTACCCATCTTTTTCAGTGCTTGGCGAAAGCAATGATGTTTCTGTTTCAGCTCTTCCAGTCGAAAAATTGATTGTGAAAGCTGATGGATTGGGTGAAGAATTTCCTGGTTGGTGCTTTCATCGTAATAATAATGATAGCATCACACCATCACACATTTTCTCATTTTCATCTATTTTAGACATCATTTTCTTTGTAAGCTGATGACATGAGATTTCTTTTTTATGATACGAGAATATTTTAGTATGTATTTTTTTTAACATTTTTAGATTTTTTTTTTAATATTTGTTACTGTTAATATTTTAGTAATTTTTATCATTCTTGTATTTTCTTATTCAAAAATATTTTTGAAATTGTACTTTTTAAATTTAAAATTTTTTAAAAATTATATTTTCTTATAGAAAGTATTTTAATCATTTTTTACTAACTTTATAATATTTTATCTTTTGAACATATTTATTTTTAAACTTATTTTTTGGAGTAATATGTTTATTTTTATATATTATTTTGAAATCTTTCCTAAGTTGTTTATATTTTATTTTTTTAACACTTTTACTAATAATGTTTCATTTTATTTATTATATATTGAATATACTTATTTTGATCATAATTTTTTTTAGTAGATCTGTTTAAATATTTTTCCAACATTTTTACAATCTTATATTTTATTTAAATATATTTTATTGTTTATATTCTAGTTATTTTCATCGTTCATGTATTTTATTATTTAAAATCATTTCTGAAATTAAAATATTTCAAAAATTATATTTTGTTTAGTGATTTAATCTTTTATACTAATTTCATAATTTTTTTTTGAACATTTTTATTTTGAACATGTTTATTGGACTAGTATCTTTCTCTTTTTACATATCATTTTAAATATTTCTTACATTATTTATACGTTTTTTTAACGTTTTTTTATATATACATTTTTTTAAAATTATTTTTATTATTTTAGTTATTTCTATCATTCTTGTATTTTATTATTTAGAATTGTTTTTGAAACTATACTAATTCAATTTAAAATTGTTTCGGAGGTTATATTTGTTTATAGAAAGTATTTTAATATTTTCTACTAATTTTCTAATGTTTTCTCTTTTTAACATTTTTATTTTGAACATATTTATTTGACTAATATCTTCTTAAATATTTCTTACATTGTTTATATATATTTTTTAACACTTTTACTTCTAATGTTTCATCTTGTTTATTATTGAATATATTTATCCTGATTATAATTTAGACAATATATTTAATTTTTCAACATTTTCAGGTTTTTTATACATACATTTCTTTAAAAATGATTGTTATTATTTTAAGTATTTCCATCATTCTTGTATTTTATTATTTAGAATTGTTTTTGAAACTATACTAATTCAATTTAAAATTGTTTCGGAGGTTATATTTGTTTATAGAAAGTATTTTAATATTTTCTACTAATTTTCTAATATTTTCTCTTTTTAACATTTTCATTTTGAACATATTTATTGGACTAATATCTTCTTAAATATTTCTTACATTGTTTATGTATATATTTTACTTCTGATGTTTCATCTTGTTTATTAACCATTGAATATATTTATCCTGATTATAATTTTGACAGTTTATTTAATTTTTCAACATTTTCAGTTTTTTTATACATACATTTCTTAAAAAATGATTGTTATTATTTTAGTTATTTCCATCATTCTTGTATTTTATTATTTAGAATTGTTTTTGAAACTATACTAATTCAATTTAAAATTGTTTCAGAGGTTATATTTGTTTATAGAAAGTATTTTAATATTTTTTCTAATTTCCTAATATTTTCTCCTTTTAACATTTTTATTTTGAACATATCTATTGGACTATAGTATCTTTCTTTTTTTACATTTTGTTTTTAAATATTTCTTACACTATTTATTCTTTTTTTAAGACTTTTACTTCTAATGATTCATCTTGTTTATTAACTATTGAATATATTTATTTTGATTATAATTTTGACAGTATATTTAATTTTTCAACATTTTCAGGTTTTTTATTCATACATTTCTATAAAAATGATTGTTATTGTTTTAGTTATTTTCATCATTCTTATATTTTATTATTTAAAATTATTTTTGAAACTATAATAATTCAATTTAAAATTGTTTCAGAGGTTATATTTGTTTGTCGAAAGCATTTGAATATTTTCTACTAATTTCCTAATATTTTTTCCTTTTAACATTTTTATTTTGAACATATTTATTGGACTAGTATCTTTCTTTTTTACATATTTTTTTAAATATTTCTTACATTGTTATATATATATATATATATATATATATATATATATATATATATATATATATATATTAAGACTTTTACTTCTAATGTTTCCTCTTGTTTATTAACCATTGAATATATTTATTTTGATTATAATTTTGACAGTATATTTAATTTTTCAACATTTTCAGGTTTTTTATACATGCATTTCTTTAAAAATGATTGTTATTATGTTAGTTATTTCCACCATTCTTGTATTTTATTATTTAGAATTATTTTTGAAAATATACTAATTCAATTTAAAATTGTTTCAGAGATTATATTTTGTCACAGAAAGTATTTTAATACTTTTTACTAATTTCCTAATATTTTATCCTTTGAGCATTTTTATTTTGAACATATTTTCCTAATATATAATATTTTAATTATATATGTTTCTTTTTACGTATAGTTTTTTTTAAATCTTTCTTTGATTGATTATATTTTATCTTTTTAACACTATTATTATTAACATTTCATCTTATTTATTATATATTGAATATATTTATTTTAATCTTAATTTTTTAGTAAGTTTCTTTTAAAACATTTTTAGATTCATTATATTTATTTTTGAAATATTTTTCACTGTTAATATTTTAGTCATTTTCATCATTCTTGTATTTTATTATTTAAAAATATTTTTGAAACCAGATTTTATAGAAAAATATTTAACATACCTTGGTTGAATCCATAAGAATTGCAGTTAATCTTGACCAAAATTTAGATTATGATATGAATCTATTGGGGAGTCTTCAAGATCTTATTCTGACCGTTTTATTCTATTTGGTGGGGATTTTATTATTTTGGTTTAATGATGTTGAACTCTGTATTGTTGTATGTATGGTCTCAGTACCTGAGAAAAACAAGAATAGTCGTGGTGCACCATAGCAATTTGTTGGTCTACTACCACTTTTTTATCCTCCAAGGCAGGATATATAATGCAGAAACTATCATAAGAGCTATGAACCTTGGTGGTGAATGTTAAGATGATTACTGGTAAGATTGGAGAGAGGGCTCACGTTGTTGCAGTTCATTTTTTATGTTACTTATGAAATCATGTAACTACACACATTTCGTGGGTTTGTTGTTCTCTAAGTGATCGGCTTGTATTGCCAAAGAAACTGGCCGAAGGCCTGGGATGGGAACAAACATCTACCCGTCTTCAGACGGAACAAGGATGTTTCTGTTTCATGAGAATTTCCTGGTTGGTCCTTAACTTAACTTTATTTAAAATATACACTGTTCTGTACAAAAAAAATCAATTTGATTCCCTTCATCTCTATACCTTAGGTACATCATGACAATATATCCAAGTTTCATATGAAACCATCTGCATTACCAGACAGCTGGAAGCTGAGGGAAATATTTGTGACTGGTGTCGTGTTAGGCAGTTACTTTGCTTTAAATTGGAGCCTCAAATTACATTGTTATTTCTCTGGCTCATGAATGATACCAACTTCTTCTGACTAATAATTTATATTTTTGGTTTTCCTCAATATTTTCACCACCAGATGAATAAGTTTCATAATTGCAGGATAAGTTTCTTGACAAAGAAGAAATTGATTAGATTTACGTAGAGTTTGTTAACAACAATATGTTTTCGATCTAATTGAGAATGTATTTGATTGTTGCTGCCTCATGACAAATTTACACCCTCTGTTTTATTATCCAATAAATTCATGTAGTGATGATTTCTCATCCACCTCCACATAACGACACAGTAGTATTATGTTTCATAATATTTATCAAACTTACACATTCTCAACCTATTTTTACAATGTCCATTATGCAGGGAGATATATATTTTTTATTTTAATTTATTTCTACTAATTTCATAATATTTTCTCTTTTCAACATTTTCATTTTCAAAATATTTTTGGGATTAGAATGTTTTTGATGTATTGTTTTTAAATCATTCTTAACTTATTTCATATATATATATATATATATATATATATATATATATATATATTTAAATTATTTATATATATTTTTTATGGTTAAGTTTTTAGTTATTTTCATCATTCTTGTATTTTATCATTTAAAAATATTTTATCATCAAATATTTTAGAATGTTTTTTTGAAACATTTTTCCAACATTTTTAGATTCTTTAATTTTTTTTAAATATTTGTTATTGTTGAAATTCTTTTAAATTTAAAAATGTTCCAGAAATTATATTTTCTTATAGAAATTATTTTAATATTTTCTACTAATTTTATAGTATTTTCTCTTTGAACATTTTTATTTTAAATATTTTTTTGGACTAATATGTTTATTTTTATATATTATTTTGAAATCTTACCTACGTTGTTTATATTTTATTTTTTAACACTTTTACTAATAATGTTTCATTTTATTTATTATACATTAAATATATTTATTTGGATCATAATTTTGTTAGTAGATCTGTTTAAATATTTTTTCAACACATTTCTAGATTCTTTATATTTTTATTTAAATATATGTTGCTGTTTATATTCTAGTTATTTTTATCATTTTTGTATTTTATCATTTTTTTAACATTTAAATTCTGTATATATATATATTAATTATTTTTTACTGTTATTATTCTAGTTATTTTCACCATTCTTGTATTTTATCAATTAAAAGTAATTTTGAAAATATAAAATTTAAATTTTAAAATATCTCAGAAATTTTATTTTGTTATAAAAAATATTTTAATCTTTTTTACTAATTTCATAATATTGTCTTCGTTGAGCATTTTTATTTTGAACATAATTTTTAGACTATAATGTTTCCTTTTACATATTGTTTTCGAATCTTTCTTACATTGATTATATTTTATATTTTTAATACTCTTACGATTAACATTTCATCTTATTATATTATACATTAAATATATTTATTTTAAACATATTTTTTTATAAGTCTCTTTTTAAACATATTTCAAACATTTTTAGATTCTTTATATTTATTTTTTAAAATAGTTTTTACTGTTAGTATTTTAGTTATTTTCATCATTCTTGTATTTTATTATTTAAAAATATTTTTGAAACCACTTTATTTAGAAAAATATTTCACATAGCTTGAGTGAATCCATAAGAAATGCAGTTAATTTTGACAAAAACTTAGATTATGGTATGAATCCATTGGAAGTCCTGATCTTATAAACGAGAAGCTGCAATAACTTGTTGGTTTGCTAATTTCTGGTTCAAATTTGTGGTATATATTCTTTGATTTTTTTTTTTCGTTGATATCTAAGTGTTTTTTATCCCGAAAAATGGAGCGATTGACAAGTTTGTTGAGCGTGGACTTTCATTCCTTAGGTGTTGCTAGACAGGTTAGCAAAGCTGATATGTAACATTCTCTTCTCTCATCCAGCTTGTTAATTATTTGAATACCCTTCCTCTATTGTTGTATGTATGGGCTCTTCTGCACAACAGGGAGGTGCCTGAGAAAAAACAAGGATAATCCTGGTGCATCATGGTAATTTGTTGGTCTAATACCACTTTTTGATCGTCCAAGGCACGATAGTGCATAAACTATCACAATAGCTATAGACCTTGATGTGGATGTTGAGATGATTACGGGTAAGATTGGAGGGAGGCCTCACTTTGTTGCAGTTCATGTTTCAAATTACAAATGAAATCATGTAACTTACAAACTTTTTTTGTTTTGGTTTCTTATTCTGTAGGTGATCAGCTTGCCATTGCCAAGAAAATGGGCCGAAGGTTAGGGATGGGAACAAACATATACCATCTTCTTCATTCTTGGCCAAAGCAAGGAGGTTTCTGTTTCAGCTCTTTCAGTTGATGAATTGATTAAGAAAGCGGATAATTTGCTGGAAGGGTATTTCCTGGTAGGTCCTTGTCCATGAAACTAATCCTTGTTGTACTATGCATCACACTATCACACATTTGTTTTTATTTTCATTTATTTTAGACATCCTTTTCATGTTCAACATTCATGGCTTCTTCGCAATCTGGTGACATGGGACTACTACTCTTGTTAACAATGCTAACTTTCATGGTCAAATGTTTAAAATAAAACATTTTAATCATTTTTTACTCTCTCTATGACACGGCAGAACACAAATATGAAATAGTGGAGAGGGTGTTAAACAGTAAGCATATATGTGAAATGACAGTTGATGATGCAACGATGCCCCTGCATTAAAGAAAGCATACACTTGAATTGTTTGTTGCTGACTGTGCTAGAAGTGTTTCTGACATTGCCCTCACTAAACTTGATCTAAATGTGATTATTAGTACAGAGCTCACCAACAGGGCAATTTCCCAGATGATGAAGAATTATAGTGTTAGTTTCGTTGCATGCATGATTTAATTGCTTTAATTTATTTTAATATACAAATAATCCAACTCAGAAGTTCTGATTATAACAGATCTATGCTGTGTCAATCACCATTCGTAGAGTGGTAGATGCAGAACATGTTTGGTTGCATTTTTATTGCATCGATTTCGAAATTTGATTTTTCATCTTTCATGGTATTGATTATTGCTATACTAAATGATGGTAAGATAACAATTATTTAACCTTGATTCTGTTTGTATACACTATTTTGTGAAAGAAAAAACTTGTTTATATACACTCTTCAAAGAAATAACTTGATTCCCTTCATCTCTATACCTTAGGGGTACATCATGACAATATCCAAGTTTCATGTGAAACCATCTCCACTACCAGACAGCTGGAAGCTGAGGCAAATATTTGTGACTGGTGTTGTGTTAGACAGTTACTTTGCTTTTAAATTGGAGCCTCAAATGACTGTTATCTTTCTGCCTCATGAATGATACCGACTTCTTCTGGGTAATAATTTATATTTTTTCCTCAATATTGTCATCACCAAATGGAGTAAAAATTGTGATAGCTATAACCACAGTTTTCATAATTGCAGGATAAGTTTGTTGACAAAGAAGAAATTAATTGGATTTACATAACGAAGATGTTTCCATCTAATTGAGAAGGTATTTTATTGTTGCTGCCTCATGACAAATACTATCTGTTTTACTATCCAATAAATTCATGCAGTGATGATTTCTCAACCTTTTCCTACAGTAATAATTGCATTTCTTAGTGAAGGCTGCATCTTTGGGAGTAGCATCTGACATGGTTTAACAGAAGCTAGCTGTGCATTAGCTTTTCTGAGGTTAGTTTCTCTTACTATCTTCTTTCCTATATGCTATCTATCTCCAATGAGGCATTGCTTAAACTGTCTAATTTGTTTGGAGTCGTTAGCCTCCATGATATGACATAGCAGTATGTTTGATAATATTTATCAAACTTACACATTGTCAAACTATTTTTACAATATCCATTATGCAGGGAGACATATATTTTTTATTTTCATTTTCAACATATTTTTGGGATTAGAATGTTTCTGATGTATTGTTTTTAAATCATTCTTAACTTATTTCATATATATATATATATATATATATATATATATATATATATATATATTAATTCTTTATATATATTTTGTATGGTTAACTTTTTAGTTATTTTCATCATTCTTGTATTTTATCCTTTAAAAATATTTTTGAAACTCTACTCTTTAAATTTAAAAATTTTCAGAAATTATATTTTTTACAAAAAGTATTTCAATCTCTCCTACTAATTCAATATTTTATTTTTAACGTAGTTTTTGAACCAGTATGTTTCTTTTTACATATTATTTTTAAGTCTTTCTTACATTATTTATATTTGATTTTTCTTATCACACTTTTACTGTTAATGTTTGATCTTATTAATTATATAATGAATTGATCATATATTTTTAATATGTCTTTTTTTAAACATTTTTTCAACATTTTCAGATTCTTTACATTTTTTTAAAATATTTGTTACTGTTAAAATTCTAGCTATTTTTAACATTCTTGTATTTTCTTATTTACAAATATTTTTTTTACCTTTGGTTAAATTTGAAATTCTTTATGGATTATAGAATGATCTTGATACCTACTGAAATTGTAATATTTTTTTTGTTGAAAATAATTGAAATATTGTATGATTTCAAAAATAAGCATCAATTACTCTTGTTCTTGTTGGAAATACACTCTTAGCTGATTTTCATAATCTAAAGCTAAATTTGAATTTCTTTATGAATTCAAAAATATCATTCTTAGTTTAATCAGAAATTTGGTATTCTTTAATTAATTAAAAATTGATCTGAATGACCTAATTGATATTGTTATGATTTTTTTGTTCATAACTTTAAACCATTTTCATAATCTTTTTGTAATACGTTTTGAGAATTTTTTTTAATTTAATTTTTAGATTTTTGATGTTTTTTACTAGTCATTTTCATCATTCTTGTGTGTGTGTTTTTTTTATCTACAAATATTTTAATCTTTTCTACTAATTTCATAATATTCTCTCTTTTCAACATATTTTTGGGTTAGATTGTTTTTTATATTTAGATTCTTTATTCATTTTTGAAATATTTTTTACTGTTAATTTTCTACTTATTTACATTATCCTTGTATTTTATTATTTAAAAATATTTTTTCAGACTATACTGTTTAAATTTAAAAATCATCAGAAATTATATATTTTTATAAGAAGTATTTTAATCTTGTTACGATATTTTCTCTTTTTTAACATGTTTCTCTTTTTTTTATATATTAAATATACTTATTTTGATCATAAGTATATTTTTATTATTTTTGTATTTTATTATTTAAAAATATTTTTCAGACTATACATCCTGGGATTTTGTTTGAAATTTTATTTTTAGATTTTTATATATTTTTTATTAGTAATTTTCATAATTTTTGTATTTTTTATCTACACATATTTTAATTTTTTTACTAATTTAATAATATTTTCTCTTTTCAACATTTTCATTTTCAACATATTTTTGGGATTAAAATGTTTTTTACGTAATATTTTTAAATCAATCGTAAATTATTTCAAATATATATATATATATATATATATATATATATATGTTATATTTGTTTTTATAATTAGATTCTTTATATATTTTTTATTGTTAATTTTTCAGTTATTTTCATCATTTCTGTATTTTATCTTCTAAATATATTTTTGAAACTATACGGTTTAAATTTAAAAATGAATCAGAAATTATATTTTTTTAATGAAAAATATTTTAATCTTTCTACTAATTTTATGATATTTTCTCTTCTTACAACATTTGTTTTTAATATATTTTTTGGACTAATATGTTTCTCTTTATATATTATTTTTAAATCTTTGTTAGTCTGTTTATATATATATATATATATATATATATATATATATATATATATATATATATATATTAAAAATTTTAATATTAATCTTTTTTTTATTTATCATACACGGAAGATGTTTGTTTTGATCATAATATTTTGAGTATATACGTTTAAATATTTTCCAAAGATTTTTAGATTGTTCATATATTTTTTATTTAAATATATTTTACTGTTTCTATTCTAGTTATTTTCATCATCTTATATTTTATTATTCAAAATCATCTTTCAAATTAAAATATTTCAGAATTTATATTTTTTATAAAAAGTATTTTAATCTTGTTTACTAATTTCATACTATTTTATCCTTTCAACCTTTTTTTACTAGTGTGATTCTTTTTACATATTGTTTTTAAATCTTTCTGAAATTGTTTATATGCTATTTTCATCATCTTATATTTTATTATTCAAAATCATCTTTCAAATTAAAATATTTCAGAATTTATATTTTTTATAAAAAGTATTTTAATCTTGTTTACTAATTTCATATTATTTTTTTAATGCTTTAACTTTTGATTATTTATTGTATATTTGAGACATTTTAAAATTTAAATGGTACAGTTTCAAAAATATTTTTAAATGATAGAATAATAACAATAAAACTTAATTAAAAAAATATATACAGAATTTAAATGTTAAAAAAAATGATAAAAAATATACTAAAAAAATTTAGTCAAATATTAATAAATAAGTTTTAAGAAAATAAATTTGTTGAGACTTTTTAAAATTTAAATTGTATAATTTCAAAAATACTTTTAAATGATAAAATAAAAGAATGGTGAAAATAACTAGAATAATAACATTAAAACCTATTTGAAAAAATATACTGAAAGAATATAATCAAAATAGGCACAGTCAAATATTAATAAATAAGTTATATGAAAATAAAATTTTTGAGACATTTTAAATTTTAATTGTATAGTTTTAAAAATATTTTTAAATTAAAAAAATACAAGAATAGTAAAAATAACTAGAATAATAAAAGTAAACCTAATTTAAAAAACATATACAGTATTTATGTTTTAAAAAAATGATAAAAATATACTAAAAAGAATATGATCAAAATAAATATAGTCAAATATTAATAAATGAGTTATAAGAAAATAAAATTTCTAAAACATTTTAAAATTTAAATTGTATAGATTCAAAAATATTTTTAAGTGATAAAATACAAGAATAGTAAAAATAACTACAATAATAAAAATAAAACCTATAATTTAAAAAATATATACATAATTTAAATGTTAAGAAAATGATAAAAAATATATTAAAAAATGATCAAAATAAATATAGTAAAATATTAATAAATAAGTTATAAGAAAATAAAATTTGTGAGACATTTTAAAATATAAATTGTTTGATTCAAAAATATTTTTAAATGATAAAATACAATAATACTTAAAATAATTAGAATAATAACAGTAAAACTTAATTAAAAATATATATACGGACTTTAAATGATAAAAAATATACTAAAAAGAATATGATCAAAATAAATATATTCAAATATTAATAAATAAGTTATAAAAAAATAAAATTTCTAAAACATTAGAGTGTTTCAACATGGATTTTAAATCCATTATATAACTACTATCACCCCTTAATTATTTATCCAAACGTGAAATTTTTTTAAGATTTATTATTTTCATTGATTCAATATTTTTTACATAAGACTTCAGAATTGTTAACTGGACTTCTCAATTTAAATTTTTTATGTTCAGAGTTACCTTCTCAAACAATTTTATGAAATTTTTTAGACTTTTACCTTGTCTCATATTAACAAGGATGATCAATATGAGATGATGCGCTGGTAGCGAATTATATTCTAAACTTGATCATCAAAGTTTCGAAACAATTCGTCGAGTTATTTTTTTAGTATATCAAATTTTCATAATTTTTTTTCTAAACTTGTTTATATTATTTACATTTTATTTTTTTTAAACCTTTTTAAAATGATGATACAATTTCAGAATATTTTGTATTTTTAAAAATAACTGTTTTACTGTTAATATCTACTTATTATCCTTCGTTTTTTTCCTTAATTCTTCCAACGTTATTTTTTTATTATTATTTGTTTGTTGATTTGGTTTTAATAATTATTAACTAACTCCCATTTAATATATTATATATTTAAAATTTAAATAATTGATTATTTTAATTTATAATTAAATTAAATATTCATAAATTAACCAAAGTGAGAAAATATACTCTGGCAAACTATATAAGACCCATCACTAATACTCGGTTAGTTCCTTACCAACGCGCTCTTTGAGAGAACGAACAGGCGGTTGATTTCAACGTCGGAGAAGAGGAGGCAGCGGTTCGGTCTCTTAAATAAGACTTTGTTCATCTTGTCGAATAAACCTTGGTCCTGTATCTTGATTCAAGGTTCGCATACAGAAGGAATTCATCCCAATCTGGAAAGGTACATGATATTGTGCAGTAAACATAAAGATTGGTCTGAAACTTATGAGCAGCAGCATGGTAAGTTCGCATCAAGACCCTAATTTCACTGATTTATTTTCCTTTCTTCTTCTTCTTCTCTCGCCTTCATCAATTTCTCATTTCGTATTCTCTCAATCAAGATTTCATTATGACATTGAATGGTAGGTACCGATAGTTCGAAATCCTAAACCGATGTTATTCTGGCAGTTTTATTCTATTATTGGTGGAGGATTTTATTATTTTGGTTAAATGATGTTGAACTCTGTAAACTTTGTTCGCAGGAATCTAACGTTTTGTGTGATTGATTTATACTTTACCAGAATGATAAATATCCAAATTCAAGATCTATTATTGAAGTTCTTGATAGGTATTGGTTTCAAAATTTAAGTTGAATAGATAAATTTCATCTAGTACTCAGGATTCAGTATTTAGCCTTGTATCTCACTAATTTCTTTTACTTAGATTTGAGCAATTCTAAATTAATTTTACAAATGAGAAGCTGCATCAACATTTTGGTTTGGTAATTTCTGGTTGAAATTTGTGGTCTATATTCTATAATTCTTTCCTTTTGTGTTGAAAAATGATGGAGTGATCGACAAGTTTGCTGAGGCTGGACTCCGTTAGGTGTTGTTAGACAGGTTAGCCAAGCTGACATGTAACATTCTCTTCCCCAACCTATTAATGTTAAGATGATTACTGGTAAGATTGGAGGGAGGCCTCACGTTGTTGCAGTTCATGTTTTACGTTACTAGTGAAATCATGTAACTTACAAACATTTCTTCGGTTTGTCGTTCTCTACGTGATCGGCTTGCATTGCCAAGGAAACTGGCCGAAGGTACCCATCTTTTTCAGTGCTTGGCGAAAGCAATGATGTTTCTGTTTCAGCTCTTCCAGTCGAAAAATTGATTGTGAAAGCTGATGGATTGGGTGAAGAATTTCCTGGTTGGTCCTTTCATCGTAATAATAATGATAGCATCACACCATCACACATTTTCTCATTTTCATCTATTTTAGACATCATTTTCTTTGTAAGCTGATGACATGAGATTTCTTTTTTATGATACGAGAATATTTTAGTATGTATTTTTTTTAACATTTTTAGATTCTTTTTTTTTAATATTTGTTACTGTTAATATTTTAGTAATTTTTATCATTCTTGTATTTTCTTATTCAAAAATATTTTTGAAATTGTACTTTTTAAATTTAAATTTTTTTAAAAATTATATTTTCTTATAGAAAGTATTTTAATCATTTTTTACTAACTTTATAATATTTTATCTTTTGAACATATTTATTTTTAAACTTATTTTTTGGAGTAATATGTTTATTTTTATATATTATTTTGAAATCTTTCCTAAGTTGTTTATATTTTATTTTTTTAACACTTTTACTAATAATGTTTCATTTTATTTATTATATATTGAATATACTTATTTTGATCATAATTTTTTTTAGTAGATCTGTTTAAATATTTTTCCAACATTTTTACAATCTTATATTTTATTTAAATATATTTTATTGTTTATATTCTAGTTATTTTTATCGTTCATGTATTTTATTATTTAAAATCATTTCTGAAATTAAAATATTTCAAAAATTATATTTTGTTTAGTGATTTAATCTTTTATACTAATTTCATAAATTTTTTTTGAACATTTTTATTTTGAACATATTTATTGGACTAGTATCTTTCTCTTTTTACATATCATTTTAAATATTTCTTACATTATTTATACTTTTTTTAACATTTTTACTTCTAATGTTTCATCTTATTTATTAACTATTAAATATATTTATTTTGATTATAATTTTGACAATATATTTAATTTTTCATCATTTTCAGGTTTTTTTATATATACATTTTTTTAAAATTATTTTTATTATTTTAGTTATTTCTATCATTCTTGTATTTTATTATTTAGAATTGTTTTTGAAACTATACTAATTCAATTTAAAATTGTTTCGGAGGTTATATTTGTTTATAGAAAGTATTTTAATATTTTCTACTAATTTTCTAATATTTTCTCCTTTTAACATTTTTATTTTGAACATATTTATTGGACTAATATCTTCTTAAATATTTCTTACCTTGTTTATGTATATTTTTTAACACTTTTACTTCTAATGTTTCATCTTGTTTATTAACCATTGAATATATTTATCCTGATTATAATTTTGACAGTTTATTTAATTTTTCAACATTTTCAGTTTTTTTATACATACATTTCTTTAAAAATGATTGTTATTATTTTAGTTATTTCCATCATTCTTGTATTTTATTATTTAGAATTGTTTTTGAAACTATACTAATTAAATTTAAAATTGTTTCAGAGGTTACATTTCTTTATAGAAAGTATTTTAATATTTTTTCTAATTTCCTAATATTTTCTCCTTTTAACATTTTTATTTTGAACATATCTATTGGACTATAGTATCTTTCTTTTTTTACATTTTGTTTTTAAATATTTCTTACACTATTTATTCTTTTTTTAAGACTTTTACTTCTAATGATTCATCTTGTTTATTAACTATTGAATATATTTATTTTGATTTTAATTTTGATAGTATATTTAATTTTTCAACATTTTCAGGTTTTTTATACATACATTTCTATAAAAATGATTGTTATTGTTTTAGTTATTTCCATCATTCTTATATTTTATTATTTAAAATTATTTTTGAAACTATAATAATTCAATTTAAAATTGTTTCAGAGGTTATATTTGTTTATCGAAAGCATTTGAATATTTTTTCCTTTTAACATTTTTATTTTGAACATGTTTATTGGACTAGTATCTTTCTTTTTTTACATATTTTTTAAAATATTTCTTACATTGTTTATATATATATTTTTTAAGACTTTTACTTCTAATGTTTCCTCTTGTGTATTAACCATTGAATATATTTATTTTGATTATAATTTTGACAGTATATTTAATTTTTCAACATTTTCAGGTTTTTTATACATGCATTTCTTTAAAAATGATTGTTATTATGTTAGTTATTTCCACCATTCTTATATTTTATTATTTAGAATTATTTTTGAAAATATACTAATTCAATTTAAAATTGTTTCAGAGATTATATTTTGTCACAGAAAGTATTTTAATACTTTTTACTAATTTCCTAATATTTTATCCTTTGAGCATTTTTATTTTGAACATATTTTCCTAACATATAATATTTTAATTATATATGTTTCTTTTTACGTATAGTTTTTTTTAAATCTTTCTTTGATTGATTATATTTTATCTTTTTAACACTATTATTATTAACATTTCATCTTATTTATTATATATTGAATATATTTATTTTAATCTTAATTTTTTAGTAAGTTTCTTTTAAAACATTTTTAGATTCATTATATTTATTTTTGAAATATTTTTCACTGTTAATATTTTAGTCATTTTCATCATTCTTGTATTTTATTATTTAAAAATATTTTTGAAACCAGATTTTATAGAAAAATATTTAACATATCTTGGTTGAATCCATAAGAATTGCAGTTAATCTTGACCAAAATTTAGATTATGATATGAATCTATTGGGGAGTCTTCAAGATCTTATTCTGACCGTTTTATTCTATTGGTGGGGATTTTATTATTTTGGTTTAATGATGTTGAACTCTGTATTGTTGTATGTATGGTCTCAGTACCTGAAAAAAACAAGAATAGTCGTGGTGCACCATAGCAATTTGTTGGTCTACTACCACTTTTTTATCCTCCAAGGCAGGATATATAATGCAGAAACTATCACAAGAGCTATGAACCTTGGTGGTGAATGTTAAGATGATTACTGGTAAGATTGGAGAGAGGGCTCACGTTGTTGCAGTTCATTTTTTATGTTACTTATGAAATCATGTAACTACACACATTTCGTGGGTTTGTTGTTCTCTAAGTGATCGGCTTGTATTGCCAAAGAAACTGGCCAAAGGCCTGGGATGGGAACAAACATCTACCCGTCTTCAGACGAAACAAGGATGTTTCTGTTTAAGGAGAATTTCCTGGTTGGTCCTTAACTTAACTTTATTTAAAATATACACTGTTCTGTACAAAAAAAAATCAATTTGATTCCCTTCATCTCTATACCTTAGGTACATCATGACAATATATCCAAGTTTCATGTGAAACCATCTGCATTACCAGACCGCTGGAAGCTGAGGGAAATATTTGTGGCTGGTGTCGTGTTAGGCAGTTACTTTGCTTTAAATTGGAGCCTCAATTTACATTGTTATTTTTCTGGCTCATGAATGATACCGACTTCTTCTGACTAATAATTTATATTTTTGGTTTTCCTCAATATTTTCACCACCAGATGAATAAGTTTCATAATTGCAGGATAAGTTTGTTGACAAAGAAGAAATTGATTAGTTTCATAATTGCAGGATAAGTTTGTTGACAAAGAAGAAATTGATTAGATTTACGTAGAGTTTTTCGATCTAATTGAGAAGGTATTTGATTGTTGCTGCCTCATGACAAATTTACACCCTCTGTTTTATTATCAAATAAATTCATGTAGTGATGATTTCTCATCCTTTTCCTAAAGGAATAATTGCATTTAAGGCTGCATCTTTGGGAATGACATCAGACATGGTTTTAAAATTTAACAGAAGTTAGCTGCATTAGCTTTTCTGAGGTTAGTTTCTCTTACTATCTTATTTACCTTTTTTATGTTATCTCCAATCTATTAAGAATTAAATCGGAGACATTGCTTAAACTGTCTAATTTGTTTGGAGGCTAATTTATGTTATCTCCAATCTATTAAGAATTAAATCGGAGGCATTGCTTAAACTGTCTAATTTGTTTGGAGTCGTAGCCTCCACACAACGACACAGTAGTATTATGTTTCATAATATTTATCAAACTTACACGTTCTCAACCTATTTTTACAATGTCTATTATGCAGGGGAGATATATATTTTTTATTTTAATTTATTTCTACTAATTTCATAATATTTTCTCCTTTCAACATTTTCATTTTCAAAATATTTTTGGGATTAGAATGTTTTTGATGTATTGTTTTTAAATCATTCTTAACTTATTTCATATATATATATATATATTTAAATTATTTATATATATTTTTTATGGATAAACTTTTAGTTATTTTCATCGTTCTTGTATTTTATCATTTAAAAATATTTTATCATCAAATATTTTAGAATGTTTTTTTGAAACATTTTTCCAACATTTTTAGATTCTTTAATTTTTTTTAAAATATTTGTTATTGTTGAAATTCTTTTAAATTTAAAAATGTTCCAGAAATTATATTTTCTTATAGAAATTATTTTAATATTTTCTACTAATTTTATAGTATTTTCGCTTTGAACATTTTTATTTTAAATATTTTTTTGGACTAATATGTTTATTTTTATATATTATTTTGAAATCTTACCTACGTTGTTTATATTTTATTTTTTAACACTTTTACTAATAATGTTTCATTTTATTTATTATACATTAAATATATTTATTTGGATCATAATTTTGTTAGTAGATCTGTTTAAATATTTTTTCAACACATTTCTAGATTCTTTGTATTTTTATTTAAATATATGTTGCTGTTTATATTCTAGTTATTTTTATCATTTTTGTATTTTATCATTTTTTTTAACATTTAAATTCTGTACATATATATATTAATTATTTTTTACTGTTATTATTCTAGTTATTTTCACCATTCTTGTATTTTATCAATTAAAAGTAATTTTGAAAATATAAAATTTAAATTTTAAAATATCTCAGAAATTTTATTTTGTTATAAAAAATATTTTAATCTTTTTTACTAATTTCATAATATTGTCTTCGTTGAGCATTTTTATTTTGAACATAATTTTTAGACTATAATGTTTCCTTTTACATATTGTTTTCGAATCTTTCTTACATTGATTATATTTTATATTTTTAATACTCTTACGATTAACATTTCATCTTATTATATTATACATTAAATATATTTATTATAAACATATTTTTTTATAAGTCTCTTTTTAAACATATTTCAAACATTTTTAGATTCTTTATATTTATTTTTTAAAATAGTTTTTACTGTTAATATTTTAGTTATTTTCATAATTCTTGTATTTTATTATTTAAAAATATTTTTGAAACCACTTTATTTAGAAAAATATTTCACATAGCTTGAGTGAATCCATAAGAAATGCAGTTAATTTTGACAAAAACTTAGATTATGGTATGAATCCATTGGGAGTCCTGATCTTATAAACGAGAAGCTGCAATAACTTGTTGGTTTGCTAATTTCTGGTTCAAATTTGTGGTATATATTCTTTGATTTTTTTTTTTTCGTTGATATCTAAGTGTTTTTTATCCCGAAAAATGGAGCGATTGACAAGTTTGTTGAGCGTGGACTTTCATTCCTTAGGTGTTGCTAGACAGGTTAGCAAAGCTGATATGTAACATTCTCTTCTCTCATCCAGCTTGTTAATTATTTGAATACCCTTCATCTATTGTTGTATGTATGGGCTCTTCTGCACAACAGGGAGGTACCTGAGAAAAAACAAGGATAATCTTGGTGCATCATGGTAATTTGTTGGTCTAATACCACTTTTTGATCGTCCAAGGCACGATAGTGCATAAACTATCACAATAGCTATAGACCTTGATGTGGATGTTGAGATGATTACGGGTAAGATTGGAGGGAGGCCTCACTTTGTTGCAGTTCATGTTTCAAATTACAAATGAAATCATGTAACTTACAAACCTTTTTTGTTTTGGTTTGTTATTCTGTAGATGATCAGCTTGCCATTGCCAAGAAAATGGGCCGAAGGTTAGGGATGGGAACAAACATATACCATCTTCTTCATTCTTGGCCAAAGCAAGGATGTTTCTGTTTCAGCTATTTCAGTTGATGAATTGATTAAGAAAGCGGATAATTTGCTGGAAGGGTATTTCCTGGTAGGTCCTTGTCCATGAAACTAATCCTTGTTGTACTAGCATCACACTATCACACATTTGTTTTTATTTTCATTTATTTTAGACATCCTTTTCATGTTCAACATTCATGGCTTCTTCGCAATTTGGTGACATGGGACTACTACTCTTGTTAACAATGCTAACTTTCATGGTCAAATGTTTAAAATAAAACATTTTAATCATTTTTTACTCTCTCTATGACACGGCAGAACACAAATATGAAATAGTGGAGAGAGTGTTAAACAGTAAGCATATATGTGAAATGACAGTTGATGATGCAATGATGCCCCTGCATTAAAGAAAGCATACACTTGAATTGTTTGTTGCTGACTGTGCTAGAAGTGTTTCTGACATTGGCCTCACTGAACTTGATCTAAATGTGATTATTAGTGCACAGCTCACCAGCAGGGCAATTTCCCAGATGATGAAGAATTATAGTGTTAGTTTCGTTGCATGCATGATTTAATTGCTTTAATTTATTTTAATATACAAATAATCCAACTCAGAAGTTCTGATTATAACAGATCTATGCTGTGTCAATCACCATTCGTAGAGTGGTAGGTGCAGAACATGTTTGGTTGCATTTTTATTGCATCGATTTCGAAATTTGATTTTTCATCCTTCATGGTATTGATTATTGCTATACTAAATGATGGTAAGATAACAATTATTTAACCTTGATTCTGTTTGTATACACTATTTTGTGAAAGAAAAAACTTGTTTATATACACTCTTCAAAGAAATAACTTGATTCCCTTCATCTCTATACCTTAGGGGTACATCATGACAATATCCAAGTTTCATGTGAAACCATCTCCACTGCCAGACAGCTGGAAGCTGAGGCAAATATTTGTGACTGATGTTGTGTTAGGCAGTTACTTTGCTTTTAAATTGGAGCCTCAAATGACTGTTATCTTTCTGCCTCATGAATGATACGGACTTCTTCTGGGTAATAATTTATATTTTTTCCTCAATATTGTCATCACCAAATGGAGTAAAAATTGTGATAGCTATAACCACAGTTTTCATAATTGCAGGATAAGTTTGTTGACAAAAGAAGAAATTAATTGGATTTACATAACGAAGATGTTTCGATCTAATTGAGAAGGTATTTTATTATTGCTGCCTCGTGACAAATTCTCTGTTTTACTATCCAATAAATTCATGCAGTGATGATTTCTCAACCTTTTCCTACAGTAATAATTGCATTTCTTAGTGAAGGCTGCATCTTTGGGAGTAACATCTGACATGGTTTAACAGAAGCTAGCTGCATTAGCTGTTCGGAGGTTAGTTTCTCTTACTATCTTCTTTCCTATATGCTATCTATCTCCAATCTATTAAAAGTTAAACATGAGGCATTGTTTAAACTGTCTAATTTGTTTGGAGTCGTTAGCCTCCATGATATGACATAGCAGTATGTTTGATAATATTTATCAAACTTACACATTGTCAAACTATTTTTAAAATATCCATTATGCAGGGAGACATATATTTTTTATTTTCAAACGTATTTTTGGGATTAGAATGTTTCTGATGTATTGTTTTTAAATCATTCTTAACTTATTTCATATATATATATATATATATATATATATATATATATATATATATATATTAATTCTTTATATATATTTTGTATGGTTAACTTTTTAGTTATTTTCATCATTCTTGTATTTTATCATTTAAAAATATTTTTGAATCTCTACTCTTTAAATTTAAAAATTTTCAGAAATTATATTTTTTACAAAAAGTATTTCAATCTCTCCTACTAATTCAATATTTTATTTTTAACGTAGTTTTTGAACCAGTATATTTCTTTTTACATATTATTTTTAAGTCTTTCTTACATTATTTATATTTTATTTTTCTTATCACATTTTTACTGTTAATGTTTGATCTTATTAATTATATAATGAGTTGATCATATATTTTTAATGTCTTTTTTTAAACATTTTTTCAACATTTTCAGATTTAAAATATTTGTTACTGTTAAAATTCTAGCTATTCTTAACATTCTTGTATTTTCTTATTTAAAAATATTTTTGAAACTATACTTTTTAAATTTAAAAATGTTCCAGAAATTATATTTTCTTATAGAAAGTATTTTAATATTTTGTACTAATTTTATAAAGTTTTCTTTTTTGAACATTTTTATTTTAAATATTTTTTTGGACTAATAGGTTTATTTTTATATATTATTTTGAAATCTTACCTACGTTGTTTATATTTTATTTTTTTAACACTTTTACAAATGATGTTTCATTTTATTTATTATATATTGAAATACTTATTTGGATCATAATTTTATGAGTAGATCTGTTTAAATATTTCTCGAACATTTTTAGATGCTTTATATTATTATTTAAATATATTTTACTGTTTATTTTTTAGTTATTTTCATCATTCTTGTATTTTATTATTTAAAATCATTTTTAAAATTAAAATGTTTCAAAAATTATATTTATATAAAAATTATTTTAATATTTTGTATTAATTTTATAATATTTTTTCTTTTGAAAAATTAAAATCATTTTTTTTTTACCTTTGGTTAAATTTGAAATTCTTTATGGATTATAGAATGATCTTGATGACCTACTGAAATTGTAATATATTTTTTTTGTTGAAAATAATTGAAATATTGTATGATTTCAAAAATAAGCATCAATTACTCTTGTTCTTGTTGGAAATACACTCTTAGCTGTTTTTCATAATCTAAAGCTAAATTTGAATTTCTTTATGAATTCAAAAATATCATTCTTAGTTTAATCAGAAATTTGGTATTCTTTAATTAATTAAAAATTGATCTGAATGACCTAATTGATATTGTTATGATTTTTTTGTTAATAACTTAAAACCATTTTCATAATCTTTTTGTAATACGTTTTGAGAATTTTTTTTAATTTAATTTTTAGATTTTTTATGTTTTTTACTAGTCATTTTCATCATTCTTGTGTGTGTGTGTGTTTTTTTTATCTACAAATATTTTAATCTTTTCTACTAATTTCATAATATTCTCTCTTTCCAACATATTTTTGGGTTAGATTGTTTTTTATATTTAGATTCTTTATTCATTTTTGAAATATTTTTTACTGTTAATTTTCTACTTATTTACATTATTCTTGTATTTTATTATTTAAAAATATTTTTTCAGACTATACTGTTTAAATTTAAAAATCATCAGAAATTATATATTTTTATAAGAAGTATTTTAATCTTGTTACGATATTTTCTCTTTTTTAACATGTTTCTCTTTTTTTTATCATAAGTATATTTTTATTATTTTTGTATTTTATTATTTAAAAATATTTTTCAGACTATACATCCTGGGATTTTGTTTGAAATTTTATTTTTAGATTTTTATATATTTTTTATTAGTAATTTTCATAATTTTTGTATTTTTTATCTACACATATTTTAATTTTTTTACTAATTTAATAATATTTTCTCTTTTCAACATTTTCATTTTCAACATATTTTTGGGATTAAAATGTTTTTTACGTAATATTTTTAAATCAATCGTAAATTATTTCAAATATATATATATATATATATATATATATATATATATGTTATATTTGTTTTTATAATTAGATTCTTTATATATTTTTTATTGTTAATTTTTCAGTTATTTTCATCATTTCTGTATTTTATCTTCTAAATATATTTTTGAAACTATACGGTTTAAATTTAAAAATGAATCAGAAATTATATTTTTTTAATGAAAAATATTTTAATCTTTCTACTAATTTTATGATATTTTCTCTTCTTACAACATTTGTTTTTAATATATTTTTTGGACTAATATGTTTCTCTTTATATATTATTTTTAAATCTTTGTTAGTCTGTTTATATATATATATATATATATATATATATATATATATATATATATATATATTATATATATATATATTATATTTATATATATATATATTAAAAATTTTAATATTAATCTTTTTATTTATTTATCATACAATAATTGAATTTCTTTATGAATTCAAAAATACCATTTTTTATATTATATTAATATTATTTATTTCCCCCTTTTATATTTTTAGAAGTTTGAAATATAATTTAGATTAAGTAAATTGTCACTTGACAAAGGCTGATACTCCAACAACTAAGCTACTAGAATTTTTCAATTATAATTTACAATAAATTATATTTATATACAAATAAATGTATATCTAAATAAATATATAAATACAATATATTTATATTTTTATATTTGTATATTTATATATTTGTATATTTGTATATTTGTATAATTATATATTTATATATTTATATATTTATATATTTATATATTTATATATTTATATATTTATATATTTATATATTTATATATTTATATATTTATATATTTATATATAATTAAATATTTATTTTTAAAATTATTTAATTTAATAAATTATTATAAATTAATCTAATTATGATTAAATTAAATTATTAAATAAAAAAATATTTAATTTTTTAATTAGGTGAATAATTAATTTATTAGAATATATTAAGTAATTATTATACAATTTTACCGAACGGATATATTCGTCGGTAATTAATTGTTAATTTATCGATAGATTTATCGATGGATATATCCGTCGGTAATTAATTGTTAATTTATCGACGGATTTACCGACGGATATATCCGTAGGTAAAACCAAATTCTATATCCGTTGGTAATTTCCGTCAGTAATGACCCATTTTTCAACGGCTACAAATTCGTCGGTAAAAATTTGTCTGAAATACGCGATTTTCTTATAATGTTTGTTTAAAGATGTTTGCATTTTTTTCCTAACTAATTTTCAAAATATAATTAATGATCCACTTTAAATTATGATTTAGGTTCATGTAAAATAATCTTTGTTGCCAAAAGATGTTATTCTTATATTTTGTAGAAGAATAATAAAATTTAATTTAAAAATAAAATATCGAAAAAAAAATAGTTATTATGAATAATATAGGACATGATGTTAAGAGAAGAGTTCACTTGTTTAAAAATAAGTGTTAAAGATTTATCATTATATTTTTTTATAATATAATAACTAAAATAAATTATTATTTTATATTATTATTTTATTAAAAATTGAATTAAAATTAAGGAGGGAATGTTTTATATTTTTAATATTATTATCTTTTTTAAAATATTAACATTTTAAAATATCATAAAATATAAAATATTAAAAAATCCTAAAAATATTATTCATCATTCTTAACATTATTCCGGTTAAAAAAATATCTAATTTAATTTTTATATAGAGATAACAATATTAGAGGAAAATTCGTGTCAATTTTTTTTAATGTCACCCTGATCCTCCTGTGTTTTGAGTACTGTGTATTTCACGTATACTTACTGTATTTTTATTTTTTTATTTTTAAATAAAAATCTTAAATATTTGGTAATAAAAAAATATATATATGAAAAAATAATTGAAAAGTATACATATTTGTTTTAGAAAAAAAATTCATAAAAAATAAAAAGAAATATATATACAATTATAAAACAATTCATATAATTATTAATTGTTTTTCTATAAATAAAATGATAGTTTAAATTAACACTTCAAAAGTAAGATATAATTTTTTATGATATATGCTTTAATATATATTTATAAATTACTTTTTATTTTTATGATATACTTATATTTTTTTAAAATATTTAAATTTAAATTACTAAAATAATAGTGAGAATAATAACTCTGTTAGAGACGGAAACATTTTATATAATAATTTTTCTTACATTTTACATTTTTTATATATAGTGAAAAATAAAATATAAGTGCAAGTAAAATATACAAGTAAAAAAAAAAATCTTTATCATTTTTCATATATCAACAACACAAAAATTCTTCTCATTTATCTGGGTATTAATCACTTATACTCTCTAATTTGAGTTTCACTAAATAAAAAAATAAAAAAACTTTCTAACCCTCTTTTTAGGTAAAATAATAATAATAAAAAAATTAGATAATAAAGAGAAATTTTTTTAAAACAAAATAATTATTTTTATATTTATTTACCTTTTAATCAAATAAATGATTTTTATAACTTTGTATATAATTGATTTTTTTTTGTTTTTCATATAAATATAAATATATATATATATATATATATATATATATTTATTGTTCCTTATCTCGACGAGTACAAATATTTAAATTTCATATCTTTAGATATTTTTTGACCTGTTGTTGATATTAAGTAACAACCAAAAATTTGTATTTATTTTTCATAATATTATGCATGAGTAAGATATATTATGGCGAATTCGTCAGATTTCATTGTGAAATAAGTGAGATTTCGGGTAATTGTTTATATAATCTTCTTCTGTCCGAAGAAATTACTCATCGAAATAATGAATTACTATTGATATCGACATATCTAAGATCGTTGAATGTTCAGGAGTTCTTCTATTCAATCTTTTCCTTCTACTTATTGTTGAATATCTCGTTCGTACACATCTTCTTTTTGTTTCTCAAGTCTATAGTGAGTGAACTACAGACAGAGTTTGAAAATGTCAAATCTTTGATGATTCCATCATACATGATTGAGTTACAAAAACTTCTGGATAGGTATCCTACATCTGAACCAAGTTATTTATGGTTAAAGAATCTCTTTTTAGTTGCTCTGGAACAATTAAGAGATTCTCTAGAAGAAATACGAAGTTTTACTTTTGGTGACAACATGCTATGGGGCGGTGGTCTCATTTATGGGGTTAAATCGATACATTTTAAGAAGAAATATTTAAATCTCATTGATCTCTTAAGTATTATACAAAATCTCATCAATTGAATTACTTTTTTGAGAAATACGAGACATCTAAGTCATCAAAGTAAAACAATTTATTCCTTGATAAGAAAAATTAAAAACGTGAATGGTGATTGGATTGATGATAAAATAGAATCCTGGGTCTCGAGCACTGATTCGATTGATGATAAAGAAAGAGAATTCTTGGTTCAGTTTTCTTCCTTAACAATAGAAAAAAGAATTGATCAAATTTTATTGAGTCTAACTCATAGTGATCTTTTATCAAAAAATAACTTTGGTTATCAAATAAGTGAACAACCAGGAACAATTTACTTACGATACTTAGTTGACATTCATAAAAAGTATCTAATGATTTATGAATTCAATACATCTTATTTAATAGAAAGATGAATATTCCTTGCTAATTTTCAGACAATTACTTAATCACAAACCTTGCGGGGGCTAATAATTTTCATTTCCCATCTCATGGAAAACCCTTTTCTCTCCACTTAGCCCTACATCCCCCTAATAGGGGTATTTTAGTAATAGGTTCTATACGAACTGGACGATCTTATTTGGTCAAATACCTAGTGACAAATTTCTATGTTCTTTTCATCACAGTATTTTTGAACAAGTTACTGGATAACAACTATAAAGATTTTCTTATTGATGATTGTGACGATATCAATCGTGACCTTGATATGGAGTTGGAGTTTCTAACTATGATGAATACGCTAACTAGGGATATGATGTCAGAAATAGACCGATTTTATATCACATTTCACTTCAAATTAGCAAAAGCAATGTCTCCTTGCATAATATGGATTCCTAACATTCATGATCTGGATATGAATGAGTCGAATTACTTATCCATCAGTCTTTTAGTAAACTATCTATCTAGGGATTGTGAAAAATGTTCTACTAGAAATATTTTTATTATTGCTTTGACTCTTATTCCCCAAAAAGTAGATTCAACTCTAATAGCTTCGAATAAATTAAATACATGCATTAAGATATGAAGACTTCTTATTCCACAACAACAAAAACACTTTTTCACTCTTTCATATACCAGGGGATTTCACTTGGAAAAAAAATGTCTCATACTAATGGATTCGGGTCCACAAATATACGAGATCTTGTTGCACTTAACAATGAATCCCCATCGGTTAGTATTATAAAAAAATAAATCCATCATAGACACTAATATAATTAGCTGTTCTTCATAGACAAACTTGGGATTTCCGATCTCAGGTAAGATCGGTTCAGGATCATGGGATCTTTTTCTATCAGATAGGAAAGGTTGTTTCACAAAATGTACTTTTAAGTAATTGCTCCATAGATCCTATATCTATCTATATGAAAAATAAATCATGTGACAGGGGATTCTTATATGTACAAATGGTACTTCAAACTTGGAATGAGTATGAAGAAATTAACTATACTTTCTTACCTTTTGAGTTGTTTTGCCGGATCGGCCGCTCAAGACCTTTGATCTCTACCTGGACCTAATGAAAAAAATGAGATCACATCTTATGGACTCGTTGAGAATAATTCTGGTCTAATTCATGACTTATTAGAAGTAGAAGGCGCTCTGGTGGGATCCTCAGGTACATAAAAGATTGCAGTCAATTTGATAAGGATTGAGTGACATTGTTTCTTCTGTTCGAACCAAGGAATCCTTTAAATATGATTCAAAATGGATCTTATTCTATCATTGCTCAAATATTTCTCTATGAAAAATATGAATCGAAGTTTAAAGAAAAGGGGAGTCCTCGACCCACAACAGATAGAGAAAGATTTTTAATCACGTCATTTTGGCTCCTAGAATATGGCACCCTTAGGGCTTTTTATTTGATTGTATTGAAAGACCAAATGAATTAGGATTTCCTTATTAGGCCAGGTTATTTCGGGATAAGCGAATCATTTATGATAAAGAGGACGAGCTTCAAGAAAATAATTCAGAGTTTTTTAGGATGAAACCATGTCGTACGAGATATTTTGTCCCTCATAATTTTTTCTTATTATATTGGTCTTGATAAAAAATATTTGTTCACCTCTTGTATATATATTCAGTTAGTATCATTATTTTAGTTAGTACAAATTTTGCTGTTTTATTTCTAATAAATTCATTAATTTTATATTTAGTCTTTCATGATTTTTTTTTACTTATGTTCTTAATATTTTTTTTATTTTATTTCTATATGTGATTATTTTTTTTGTAATAAAGTTATACATGTTGTTTAACCATAATTTTTTTGTTATTGTTAAACTTTTTTAATTGTTGATGTGTAATGATTCTTCTTTCTCGCCACTTGTTTCTTATTCTAAAACATTCCTATCACACATGCATATTTTTACACATCTAATATGACAATTTTAGTTTATTTCTCAGCTCAATTGCGCATTTATTATTTTCCTTTCAATTTTCTCTCTTTATAGTTAATTTCTCACAAGTAACTTTTTTTTAAATTAAAATTTCTCATTTCATTATTCAAATATTGATTTGTTGAATGCATTTACATATGGACCATGTTAACTAAGAAAAATTACAAAAAAAAATCAATTTTTTTTAATATATAGAGAATGATAGATATTTTAAATTTTTTAAAAAGAGATACATGATTAAATGAGGAATAATAAAATGTTCATAATAATAATAAAAACTTATAAATTTTTGCGTGATAAACTTTTACCCGATCTATCTTTTTCTTATCTTAATCAAACTTCATAATTTTGAAGAGACCATCATATTTATAAGCACGTTTACATAGTAAAGAAAATGATGTTTTAGGATATAAATTTGTCATCTTCTTATAGAGTACATAGTTTCTCTTAATGTTTAAGACATTAATGTACCATTGTTCTTTAAAAGAAACAAATGTAGAAGTGGACAAGATCGTAAATTCCAATGCCGTCATTATTGTAAAAAAATTACCATCATTTAAGAAAAAAAAACACTAAAGGAAACAATTAATCAATACAATTTACCATATAGTAATAATTTAATATATATATATATATATATATATATATATACTTTTTCTAAATTTAAAAATTATTTTATAAATATAAATAATTTTTTTAATTATTTATAATAAATATCATATTTTTTTACGTAATTTTTATTTTTATTCTCCTTTTTATTTTAAGATTTTTCTTTTTCCATATTTTCTATTTTTTCTTCAACTTTTTTTATTGGGTATTTATTTTAGTTTTTTACATTATATTTTTTATTTTTATCACTCATTTATTTTCATATTTTTTTCTTTTTTTTATAATATAAAAATTATAAATTTTTCTTTTCAGTTTTCAAAGTTTTCTTTTTATAATTTCATCATTATAACATAAAGATTATATTTTTTTATTCTTTAGTTTTTTTTTATCTTTTATTTAAGAAAACATAAGACAAAAAATTAAAATAAATTAAAAAAATATCTCAAAGAAATGATTTTAAATAAAAAAATAGTAAATACTATTTTTTTAATTTATTTATTTATTATTATAACAAATTAATATATATATATATATATATATATATATATATATATAATGTAATATAAAAGTATAAAATATTGATATAAATTTTTAATTATTATGAACTAGTTAGTTATTTTAATTTTTTGATATTTTATATTTTTAAGTTAAAATAACTAAAAAAATTTCAGTTTGAGTTTTTAAGATATAAAAAAAATTATTATAAATTTTTTTGAAGGATAGATAAATTTCACATGTAATGATAATTTTCTAAAAAATAGATAAGAATACACTCTAACATTTTATAATTAGCTAAAATTTATTATAAAACTATAAGATGTATTAAATAAAAATATAAAAAAAATGTATTACCAAAATTCGCTTTGGATACATATCTACTGACTCTGTTAGACTCCGTCGTAATAATTTGGATATTATTAACGGACACACAAACACGAGCCGCTACATATTTGATGGAGTAATTTCTCACGTAGTAATTTGGTAATACAAAAGACACTAATAAAAAGATAAAACTAAAATTACACCCATTGGTGTGGGTCTTTGTGGTCCTTCATTTGGTCTCCGCCAAATCGTGGCGGATATGGTTGAGCAGCACCGGAATCACCACATCCGGCGCGCTCAGCTGGGGCAAGTGACCCTCCGTTGGCATGACCTCCACGATGGTCTTTCCGCCGAGGTTCTGCTGCAGATATTCGGCCACCACAACGGGCGCTGCCAAGTCCTTTGTGCTCTGAATGATGTGGCAGGGCACCGTGACGCGGCCCAGGATTGGCCTCATATCGAACTGGAATATGGTCTGCGCCAAACTCAGGGCTATGTCGGGTCGCATGTTGAATAGGGTTCGACTGAACTCCTGCACCGCCACCGAGTCCATGTCTCCGCCTATCACCAGAGGAGCGAACCCTGAACACCACGCTTTGTAATTCGATCGGATACCATCATAGAACTGCGTCAGATCTTCTTGCTGAAACCCTCCAAAGTATTCTGAATCATTCAGAAACCTATGGCAACAAAAAACAACAATTTTCAAGTAAAATGAAAATATGGAAATTTCTTTTACTTTTTTCGGTGGAATCTAGGATATTCCTGCCGTCAGAAATAATCTTTCAAAATGTTGAAATCTATTATATATATATATATATATATATATATATATATATATATATATATATATATATATATATATATATATATATATATATATATATATATATATATATATATATATATATATATATATATATATATATATATATATAAACATGAGGTGAAAATCAAATCCTGACCACATAATGTGATTTTTTGCTTATGCTCCCGCTCCACTGACCCCATTTTTTTGGGAGAAAAATTCTATGATATATATAGAAATTCAAAAGATTTTAGCGTTGTGATAGAAAATAATTATATTTTTCTTTCTTTCCTTAGTGTATCAAATCTTATTATTCAAAATTTTTAGAATCTTATAAACATTAATCAACTATAATTCAAGTTAAAAATTTATAATTTACAAGTATTATTTTATTATATATATATATATATATATATATATATATATATTAAAATTTTCCATAATAAACCATAATTTTAAACAAAATTTTTAAAATTGTATTTTTTTAGGAGATCTTGCCTTAAGACCGATCTAATGATCGATCAGATGACGAGACCAGGAACATTTCGTATATTACATATTAATTATCAATTTTTTTTTACCAAAAACTTATGCGGACAAAAATAGTTTGGATAATTACCCTAATTAAGTACTAATTTAATAAAATTCTATTATATGAAATTTTAATTTATAAAATTCAAAATAAATATGTTAAATTTAGCATGAAGATTAATACAATGAGAAAAGTTTATATGATAAAAGAAAATGGTTCACATGGTTTACCTTGGAGAGGCAGAGACGAGGATGAGCTTAGTGAAGAGATGAGGGTGGGAGATGGAAGCGAGGAGGCCCACCATAGCGGAAAGAGAGTGACCAACGAAGGTGCAAGATTGCACTTGAAGCTCTTGCAAAATGGCCAGCAAATCATACACAAACCCATCAATTGTGTAATATCGTTCAAAGTCGAAGTATTCTGGATTTGTGGTACCAGCTCCCATGTTGTCGTATAGAATCACGCGGTAATCATCAACCAGATGCGGTACGAGGTGCTTCCACACAGATTGGTCTGTGCCAAACCCATGAGCCAGAATCACGGTTTGATTCCCCTTCCCAACTATTCTCACGTTATGAGCCTCTTCCACGATACCCATAATCTCTTTTTTTTGTTTTCTTTCTCTATTTATCAGTGTCCCCGTTTCTGAGGCCCGAAGCTACCAAGGGATTGATATTTTTTTGTTTTGGTTTTGGGGTTGTAAGCTAGTTGGCTTCGCTTATTCACTTCATATCCATGGTTGGGTAATTGAAGACGGTGGGGTCGAATTTATGGTGGTTGACATTATACAAATGATGCAAATTAAGCCAACTTGCATATATAATGCGGATGGCGAAATGCCACGTGACACTACTCAGCCATTTGGGGAAATTTATGATCTTTATATATATTTTTAATTAACTGTAAAACAGTCACTGTTTTTAATATATTTCTTGCTTTTAAATATTTAATAACGTGGAATGTAAAAATAATTCCTTTTAAAATAATCTGATATATTCATAATTAAAAACTAGAAACATAGAATAAAAGTATCAGTAACAGTTCTCTAAAATGCCACATGACACCAAGATGGAAAAAGAAAAGAAAAGCATTATCTTAACATATTGGAATGCGACATTTAAAAAATAATTCCATTTATACGGTAAAGTTGTTTAAGGAAATTTCCTATTCTAAAAATTAGCGTAAAGGTCGTTAGACAAACACAAAAGAGAATAGAATTGTCGCAGAAAATTTAGTGCACTAGCTTATCTTGAGGCTCACATCACATCTTTGAAGATTTACATGTTGGGCCCATGGCAGTTTCTTTCTCCAACATAGTCAACCACAGCTAGCTTAGATTGGTCAAGTGTTTTTTTTTTCCTTGGTTTTACCATACAATTAAGGTTTTGATGAACATTATTTAAACTCTTTATTACTCCCCTCTTTCCTAATACATGTAATTTATATTGAAAGTTGTAACTAGTGTGTCTATTACATCTATAAAGAATTAAATTAGTTTTTTTGTTTTATGATAATAATGAAATATGTTTGCATTTTTCTTTAATCAAGGGTTTTCTAAGGAGGATTTATTTAGCATTTATAGCTGGCAGGTATTCTTCTCAAAGTTACTCTTATATATGATTATTTAACATAATTACATATTTACCCAGGAAAGTTAAATTAATTTAAAAATTATAAAATAAATTGATTATTATTATTTTTTTGATTAAAAATTTTAAAATTAATAATTTGATTTAGTTTTTGATTTGAGACTTAAGCACTAAATCCAAACCGAATTAAATCAAAATTATAACATATATTTATAAAATTAAGATATAAAATGATAACTTATTAATTTTTATAATTTAAGATATGTATTATTATTTTTTAAATTAAATTTTAAAATATATAAAATAAATTAAAATTATGAATTACAGTTAATTATATATAATATTTGTATAATATATTTTGTATTAAACAATTATTTTATTATAATATGTTTAATAATTTTACAATAAAAAAATTATAAAAACCGTTTAAGTCACGAAATATTAATTTCATCCTGTTTAGATTAAAAAAAAACTTAAACTAAGCCAATTTTATTTTGATTTGAATAACTTTTTAGATGAAACTAAACCCAACCAAATAACACAAAAATATCCTATCTTAAGATTTGAATAAAAGTTGTCTGATTAAATAAAAATAATTATATGATAATTGATCACATATTCAGTGATTACCCTAACAAAAATAAGTTGGTCTATACTAACTCAAGAGTCAGCCTCTTATTCCTCATGACACCAAGTTTGTGGGAAGGTGAAAACCTATATCCTCTTACATCAATAATCAATGGAAAGAGGTTTATGCTCAGTGGACGGAACTTTTAGGGCCTTAAGCTTGGAATCCTCACAGCTAAACAAATAACTATCCTTAAGGAATGATATTTTCTAAATTGCAATTAATATGATTGGCACAATTCAATAACTAACACTTTCTTGAGTTTACTTGTTAAAGATGAAAAATAAACCCCTACTGACAGAAAATTGATCCGTTTATACGAGATTGAGAAAAAAATTAAGTTGACGGGAAGTGGACAGGTTAAGATTTTGGTCAATGGGGTAGGATGAGTACCGTAATCTTTGTCTGATCTGTTTTCATTTTGGCTCTAATTTTAATTTTATATTTAAATTTAAATTTTAAAATATTAATATTTAAAAAAATTATTAAATATAAGATTATTTTTTATATTTTATTATTTTTATTTTTCTTCTCTCTATTTTTTAATTTATTTATTTTTTATTTTTTTATATAAATTAATTTATTATATTATTCTTTTTCATTTATTTTTTACTTTTTTACATTTTCTTAATCTCTAATCAATTTATTTTTTTTTAATCTTTTGACAAACATAAAATTAATTTTTTTCTTTATTTTTTTAAATATTTTATATAAAACTTAATAATAACTAATATTACTTTATTTATAATTTATTCTTTTTATATTTTATTATATCATATTTTTGGATTTTATTATTCTTATTTATTATATATCAAATTTTATCTTAATAATTATATTTAAAAAAATAATAAAAAAATAATAATTTAAATTGTTATTATTTTAAATTAATTAATTAAGAAATAATTTATTAAATATTTTCTTATAAATTATATATTTTTAAATAATAACTTAAAAAAATTATATATATAATCAAATGTTATTATTATAATAATAATAATATTATAAATATTTTATATATAAAAAAAATTATTAAATATTATATATATATATATATATGTGTTTTAATATAAATATAATATATTAAAAAATATTTAATTAATAATATTTATAAATTATAAATATTTATTTTATATATAAAAGTTATATTCAAATATTAAAATTAATTTATTATAAATATAATTATTTTTTTTTAAATAATATAAATCAGAGATAAAAACGGAATGTGGGAAAAAAATTTGAAACCCAATAAAAATGAAAATAAAAACTTAACTTTTAATAAATGGTCAGCCTGTGGTTATGCCTATTCTTTTCTGTTTCTATTCGTATGCTTAAGTTAATTACAGATTAATAAAAGTTATAATTTCTTAATATATATATATATATATATCAAATTCTGTCCAAATAACTACAACTTTAAATGAAAGTTTCATTCATATAAACATATTAAACTAAAATATATTAACACATAAACATCTTATTTTTATAAATCAAAATTATTATATATTTTTTAAAGTATATTAAAATATAGTTTATTTATTTATTACTACATTAATCTAAAAATGAATAAATAAAAAATATTTTTAAGTGCCACAAATGATAGCATGAAATATAACAAAATTCATTTTAGTGCTATGTGTAATAAAATATGATAAAAAAATTAATATTGATGATTTAATAATTTCTAATATTGTCCAAATGTATAATATTAAACTTTTTTAGAAGACTTTATTGTATAATACGTTTTATTAGCATTCCATTTCATATGAAATTTAAAACAATAATAAATAAAATGTGTAATTATAAAATTAGTCTGAAGAATTTGTATATATAATAATATCTAATACTTCTATTAAATGGGTATTTATTTATTATTTTTTTGAATATTGTTGAGGTTGTAAATTTTTTTATGAAATAATTAACAGAAGACATGTTTATGTATTAAAGTTATTCAAAATTGTGTCACGTGTTAATTTTTAATGTTATCTTTTTGTATGGATAATTATCGAACATCTTTGGAGTTTATTTTTAATTTATAAATTATTACTATTACTATTTTAGGAAAAAAATGCGGTATTATTGCTGTTTAACATATATGATTTATATTATAAGTTAATAGATAAATATTTTTAGAATATATAGTGAATTAAACTATGATATATTCATTAAATTATTTTTTCTACTGATTAAACACAGCATCTAAAATATTTTATTTAAATTTATTATTTTATTTCAGACCTAGTTCAAAATACAATAAAAATATATAAAATAAATAGTGTGGGCTCAGATCAATTAAATTGATAGTAAAAAAAGCATGAAAAAACTTTTGTGCAAACCGAACCTTCTAGGAACCTTGTTGCATTGTAAAATAAATAGATGGGCTGATTTTGCATAAAATATCATTATTTTTCATAAAAATAAAAACACAATAATTTATAATTATCAGTTAAGAGGAATAACTAACATTGCATAAAAATTCATAATAGTTACTTTAATTTGCTCATAAGTTAATATAATTCATATAAAATTTTAATTTATTTGTAATTAATTTTGATTTATGAATAAATTATTTAATTTCTCTTACAAATTCTTATATATTGTGAGTGTTCCTCTAAATATATTTCTTTAATGCTTGGATTTCAAAAATTTTAACCATATCCACTAAGATTTCTCTTCGTAAAATATAAGTTCAAATTTTGAGTATATATTATATATAATTTAAATATTTATTTTTTCTCAAAAATATTAAAATTTTATTTATTTTTTTTTCTTTTATGTTTTTATATTCTCCCATTTATTCATGGTTTATACATTATTTATCCCCACAAATTATTGATTTTTATATAGTTTTCAATAGAGGATGAATTAATATAACTTTTGTATATTTTAGCCTCTTTTCGTTATGTGACATGGGTTAGTGCTCATCATTTGTATAATTATAAACTCAGTAATTTTTTATATAATTTGATATTATTGAATTGGTAAATAAACTATTTTATTATTATTATTATTATTATTATTATTATTATTATTATTATTATTATTATTCAACAACAATGTATAATACTATTTTATCATTTGTAAAAGATAAATTTTAAAATATTTTTGTCATAATACGTTTTTAATAATATTATTATTATTAAAATAATTATTTGCAACTTAAATTAATTTTACGTAATTTTTGTTTTACATATAGATTTTTCATTAGACGAGATAATTAAATTTAAAAAAATACCAATAAACTTTTATTTGAAATGAAGTATACAAGTAGTTAAATATACGACAATATGAAAAATTATATCTTCAACCACCATGGCAGCCTATTTATGCTAAACGAAAGACACAGCAAAATGTCGCATTGCACCTATCGCACAAAACTACTTTAAAAATGTTTAAACAATATTTAAAGCTTAAATATTTTTCATGTGATCCATACTCTTACTATTAAACACCTTTGTCTATTTAGCTAAACCTTTTTTATCCAAAATTGTGTCTCTATCTCTTAGTCTTAGTTGAATTTATCACATGAAAATATTGCCCTGTTGAAATTTTTCTCCTGTAAAATGGGATTCCTTTATTAACATCAACATTTATTAATTATTGTGCAAAATAAAAACATGTTTATTAATTATCTTTTAACAACTCATTCTTTTCATATAAATTTATTAATTTTATATATATAAAAAAATGTGATAACTATAATACATCTTCCCTCCATTCTTTCATTTCAATTCTCTCATATCAATACTTGTTTACATAAATTCTTCTCATATATTACTACTGAAAATTTTTAGGGATGAAAATGGACTAATTTTTACGACGTACCATTTTGAATATATTTTTGACCTAGATGACAAAACCCAATAACTGTGTTCTTGGTAATGCCATTGACCACAGACAAAACCATTTTTTCCCTTCTTCTTGTCCACAAAAAAAAAAATCATCTTTTATAATAGTACGAAATGAGGAAGACAAGAATGAAAGAAAAACCTTTTCCAACTCGTAGAAGTTTTATTTCCAAATTCCAATCTCTTGTGTGTGTGTGTGTGTGTGTTTTGTTTTGTTTTTTTTCATTTCTTTGATTCACGGCTTTCCCATCCTTGGTTCCGTCTTTTCTCTCTCTTCAACTCTGCCCTCGCGTGACTTGGTGCAGTCCCCTAATCCTATTTCACATCCTCCACTCAACCAACCATGAACCATCGAAATTCACACTTCAATCATGACAAGCATAAACACCAATTTTCACCACCCATGTTCCACCTTATCATTTAAGACTCCATCATGTATGCCCACAAAATATCTCAACAAACGCAATTCAAAATTATTAATTACATACAAATTAACACCAAACTAAGGGAACTTCAAAAGAAAAAAAATTGATAACAGCCTTGCTCGTTCTCACGAGAAAGCAAAAACTTTTGATAACAACGCCTGCACCACAATATTATAATTTATTTAATTCAAATTAAAGGAGGTAAAAAAGTAATTTAATATAACCTAATGTAATCTTAAAAGTAAAATCCAAGCATCATGCGTTTGATAACAAAGCCTCTTCATCATCATCATCATCATCATCAGGGTGGGTTACATGAAGTTCCTTTAGCCATTCAAACGTTCGGCGACGTGACGTAACCTTCTTTCCCTGCTTTTGCTTATGCTTCTGCTTCTTCAACTCCATCACTTTTTCTTTCGCGGCGTGCCTTGTACTTTCTGTATTGCTGCCACTTTTACCATCACCGTTACCACCTTTTATCATGACCTTGTTCGATCGCACTGTTTCTAAAGAGCAATCACAGCCACTCAATAGACCACCGCCTTTGCCAACTAACTGTTTCAAAATACTATCATTGCCCTTGTTCCTGTTACTCGTTTTCACACCATTCGCACTGTTGTTGCTGCTGCTGCTGTTGCTACTACTGTTACGACTGACACAGTTTGATCTGTTGCGAACCTTGAGGTCTTGTAATCCTATCTCGGGAGCAGGGACCACACCCAAACGGAAAATTCGCCATGCTGACGTTGATTTTCTACCTGGGTTACCCAAGCTTGATAATTGTGCTGGGTTGGGCGCTCTTAACTGAGGTTTTGGACTTGGGTGCATGTGAAACTGGTTTCGAATTCTGGGTTTTGTTCTAAGAGGTACTGTACTAACTGTTTTCGTAGAGGTGGTGGTGGAGCTAGTGGTGCTGGTTGAAGAGTTTTGGCTTCTAAGACTACTGCTTCTACTGCTACTATTACTTGGAAAATCCAAGGATTCGTTGATAAATTGCTTACCATAATGTGGTTGAGATTGAGACAGTGTGGCCAATAAGCCAGCCTCAGAGCTGAACGAGACACGCAATGGGAGGATTTGGCCTTTGAAGAAAACTTCATCCGCCACACACATTTCGGGCTGTTTGGAAAAGGGACCACCCCAGGAGCGAAAATTGAATTCCTCTTGCGTTGGTTTGTTGGCACAAGAGTGTTGTTCTTGGTTTGTCGGTCGGTCGTTGAGGTTGATTGGAAGATCTGAAAGTGACAATGCTTCTTCTTCTTCTTCTTCTTCTTGATATTGATCTTGCTCCTCCTCTTCATGATCTTGCTCTTCTTGGGTAGGGTTCCATTTTCCTTGGACGATGTTTGAGGAGGCCATTTAGGAAGGAACAGGTTTGGTTCGAAAGCTGCTAGGTGTCGGGGAAGTTGGAGAAGGATGATTTAATGGGGTTAAGGTTTTTGATAGGGTAAAGGTATTTGTACAGGGTGATAGGGGTGTGGGTGACAGAGTGACACGGACATTTGGAATATAAAAAGAGGTAAAGGAGTGTGGTGCCCAGCACTAAAGTAGGAAATGAAATGGGGCAGTGTAGCCATCACGTAAGCGACCCGAGGAAACAGGAGAAACACTTGTTTTGGACTCATCCAACATCATTAAAAATTCAGAAATGATATTTTGGAACCCAATACATTCAAACCTCAAAAACAACTTAATTTTAATATAATAATAATTTTAATTAATTTTCATTTTTATTAGATCATTTTATAATTATTATACTAATAAAAGTTGATTGTTTTGAGGGTTATATATTTATAGAGTTCTCAAAATATTACTTTTCTTAAAAATATTATGTAATAAAAATCTTTACTTTTTAAATCTCTTTATTACTGTTGAGTCTCATATATGGCATGAAACATTTTGGTCTTGATATTGAGTTGGGAACTCGTACATGTTATATAGTCCTTTGCACCTTTTGGACATAGTTTTATACATGGCTTTTGGACATGTTCATGATGTTTTGTGTGTTAATTTATTTGGGTGAAGAAAGGAAGTGTGACTTTTTGGGCCTGCCAATTGGCATTAGTAGAAAGAGGACCTCTCTGTCTAAGTATCTAGTGTCTACCATGGACGGGTTTAAGGCAAGTGGGTTAGCCTGAACAAATACTATTGTTTAGTTGAAGTGCGGGTGAGGACCACTGCGGACCCTGCCATACAATTTCAAATTGAATTATACGTATAGTTGAGACATGAACCATGTACGTACAGTACTGCATTGTCTCTAAAACATGAGGATAACGGTATTCTTTCAAGGTGAGAGAAGAACAAAGGGCAAGAGAAAAATAAAAAAGAAAAAAGATTTGAGTAGTCATATAAAACATTTTTTAACAAATACTTATTATATTTATTTATTTATTTTCTTCCTATCTCTCGGTACATCATATCTAGTTTAAAGCTTTTCACTTCTTTTGTTCTTATCTTTTCTATCTATTTGGATTTTTATGGGCATTCATCAAACATTTTTCAATAGATTTGATAAATGATGTAAAGAAAATTAAATAGACATTAGAAATAAAGATAAAATTGAAATTCAATATGAATAAGGTTTACCACAATTATAACTGTTACCCTTATAATAATTCTTTATAATGAATTTTAAATATTTATTCTAAATATTTTTGTATATAAATATGATCTTAGTTAGTTTTTATCTTTATAATAAATTGTATTTTTTATTCTTTATTCTTAATTACTAAGGATAATGGAAAGGGTATTATAATAGTTGTTTGTTTGTGTACTTGTATTTAGAGAATAATAATTGTAACATGTGGGATAACAATTTTAATCTACATATTCATACACATTGGTAGAATTCGTATATATGCTACTTATATTTTCAATAATTCAATAAGAAAATATTTATTACAAATTGTTATAAAATTTAACTTTTAAATGAGAGAATGTAATTTTTTTTATGCTATATATAATAATATATTTATTGTTAACCTATTCATTAGTTTGTCTAAAATTAAGATAAAAAATGTATGATGAATCGTGTTTATATTAATTACTTTGTCTGTAATTAAAATAAGATAGAAAATGTATGATAAATTATGTTTATATTATTTAATTTATTCATAGTATCGTTTTGATAATACATATAACACATCTTTATTTATAAATTTAAATATTTTTATTTTAAATAAAGCTCTATATATTATTATTAAATTACAATATATTATATAAACTATAACTTAATTTATATAAAAGAATTTGTAAACGATATTTTAATTGTAATAATATATACAAGCTTGTTTGTATGAAAAAAAATAGTTTAAAAAATTTGTTTATTTATACTCTTAAAAGACTAACTTAAAAAATATATATTTTAAATATCGAAATCACCATTATATTTATACATTAACAATAACAATTCAGATTATATTTCAATTTGATTTCTCTTAGTAAAAATGATGATTTTTAAGAATGATGATTTTACTTTTTAAAGAGATGAAAATTTACTTTTATAAATTATCGTAGACATCACATTATTTCAAATGTATCATAAAAACGTATAATAAAAAACGAACAAACATAATATTAAAAAAAATAATCATAGCTCAACCTAAATCATTAAATTAAGTTGGACACTCTTTTTTTTCTTTTTCTAATCTACCCAAATTAAATTAAATTAGGCACTCTTTTTTTCTAATTAAAAAAAGAAAATACATGACGAGGCATTTTAAGAATAAAGTAAAATGAACAAATCGTAACAATGATTCTAATGATGCTATATTATAATAGCATGAAGTCCTATTTGTTCTTATTTTATAGCATGAAATGGGATTTTTACTCTGACTATGTTCTGAAAATTAAGGCACATAACATAGTCTTACTCGTTCCTGATTCTTGGACTATGTTCTGATACAATTAAGACTTACTCGTTCTGATTCCTTTCTGATACAATTAAGAGTTTTCTCAATATCTTCCTTTTTAAAACTATATAATACTCTCCTCTCTTAGACATATTTTAAAACTATATAAACTATATTATTTAATGGATATACAACAGTATTTAAGTTATATACATGAGACCATTATAATATAATATTTTTAAAATTGAAGTTATCAAATTTGTCATAGGTAAAAAATATCGTAGCTTTAATGGGTAGCTGCTAATGTAAAACTATTAAACGTCCCTTACACATGTAACATCAACTTATCCTAATTTCTCAAACTTTCCATTGTTTTCTGAGATGATTCTTACTGAAGTTCACACCCTCATCTCAATAAAGTTGTTAAATAAAAATATATATACTTATCCTTTCCTTAATATGGAATAAAGAAGGTTATATAAAATAGATAATACTGGTGGAGGGAAGATTTTTACAAAGTGATAATGTGAGATTAACACTCCTTTTGAACGGATTAACTCTTCCATATTCTTAAAACCTAGTAAAAAATTTGATAAATTTGAAATATTTTCTAAGACGTAAAGTCAGGGTAGAGAGAAGAAAGTTTTGAGATTTTATGCTGGATGAAATTTGATATTCAGAATTCATCGTCTAACAAAATACACATGTTCAGAAATGAGAAGGCCCAGCCATCCTGGACTGAGGCCCAATTGACGGTTGACCCATACAACTGGAAACGTGAATTCCAGGCATTGAGTTACCATTTTTTTTTTCCACCCCTAAAGTTGTACTCTTTTACAGTTTTCTTCCAACTAGAAGATACACGATTAGTGATTATTAAAAAGAAAAGAGACTCTATCAACTTTTCCAGTGAAATTTTCTGTACACAAGACGATAACACTGCTTAAAAAAGAAGAATGAATATAAAAAGAATCAACATCCAATATCATCTTGCTCATTTTCTATATGCATCTTTTCATGAAAGTGAAAATTGACCCCAAAATAATAAGAGATCAAATAACCAAACTACCATTCATATTTGTAATGACGCAAGGCATCAGAAATACAACAACAATAATAAGGGAAAAATGATGATTTGGATCCATGGTATCAGAAATACAACAACATCCTATCCTGAGAAAATCTAAATTTGGAAATCACTAAGATGTTATTAGGGAAAGAAAATAGTGCAGTGTAGGAGGTGAAAATTAAGGGACTCCTTTGCTATTAATGGCATCAGTGGCAGTGGCTTTGGCCTCAGAGGAAACAGCAGCACCAGAGAGAGTGGGTGCTTCCGTAGCACCAGCACCACGACCTATGCTTGGTTCTTGATGGCCCTGTGTGCCATAACCCTGTTGCTTATAGTCCTCCAAATCCTTGTATTTGACGTAGGGACTGTCCTCTATAGGAAGCCCTTCAAGGCTTGGTTTGCCAGATTCACTCTCTGCCTTTGTCTCCTTTACCGTTTGCTTCTCCATCTTCTTCTTCCTTTTTCCTTCTCCGTTTTCAACCCTTATTTATATAGTGTAGTTCTATTTTGTAGCAGGTGTGCCACTTGGCTGAGTCTAAGACACGTGGGGATGCCCTAGAAATTTCAGAGAAACGTGGCAGGTTTAGGAACAGCTTGCTGTTTCTATCCACAAGATAATCAATGGACAAGCTCCATCTGTGCTTTGGATTCTCTTTTATCTATAATTATAAAAACCATTATATATTTTTATTATTTTATGTTGATATGAATTAATAATTGTAAATATTGAATTATTTATCCAAAAATCAACTGTTACCCTTTATTCGTTGCATTTCATGGCTATGGCCAATAATAAAACACTTGCAAGGTTCCGACAAACTCAAATATATTGTTTTATCTAAAGTGTAAAAACTTGGTAAACTCTGATTACTATCAATAGTTATTGGTTTATATTCTTTTGAAAGGACTTAACGATTGAAAGAGAATAATCAGAAGAGATGAAACGAAACACTAGATTGGGGACCAGTGAAGTGTCTTTGTCACATTGCCAAAATTTTGCAGTCATATTCCTTAGCCATATTAAGCAGGTCTGAAAGTTACACTTATCTGAAAACGCAACAGCATCCCCATACAAGTTTAATAATATATAACAAAAAGTTACGAATACCGTAATCATGTCTTCGCTTGCCACTAGTATGTGATACTGGCTCATGCTGCTTTGCACAAAGGTTTCTCTGTTTCAAACTTCCAACACACTTATTTTAACTCTCACTTATTAGTCTCTATGTATTTTTTTAACCTGCCACCCACTTATAAATCTATATAAAATTTAATATTCCTTTGTTAAACTCAGAAATGACATCTATAATTATAAATTATTAATCAATTTAGTTCTTAAAATTGTAATAATTAATCAAATAATAATTAATTAAAAGTTTAATTATATTTTTTTATTTCATTAGCGGTCATATATTTTTTTAAATATTCTAAAGATAAAATTAAATCTTTAGAAAATGGATAATGAAGATTTATATAACTAAAATATAATGCAACATAGATAATTTCTTGTTACCCTTCCAATCCTTACCTGAATGATAATTTTTACTTTTAGCAGTAATTTGTGGGTGTGTGTTGGTTTTTTGTTTTAATTATTTTAGGATTGATTTTATTGCATCTCACAATCAAAAGAGGATACAACAATGTTAGCCTGGAATCTAAAGGTGTTGTTGTAAGCCTTCACACTTCTTCTACTTTATAAAATAAATACTTTCTTTCTTATTTTCTATTAAAATAACATTAATAACTTCTTTAATTTTCAAATAAACATTAACCTTACTTATTTCCTTATATTTTTATTAAAATAAAAGTCATCTTATTTTCTTTTAGAAAAAGATAATAACTAAAACTTAAATTAAGGTATTAAAAATTATATTGATTAGTGATCTACAATTTTAGAAATAGTTCACTATTTTATAAAATACAAAGATTAATTTGGCAAAACTGAATTAGTGGTTTAGGGGCTAACTAATTATGAGTATAATTACATAATTAAAGAACCACTTATGGTTAATTTGAAGGAGGTCAGATATGTGAAATTAGTGATGAATAATTTTTCAACAAATTTGCATAAATATCTACTAAAATCTACCAACAATGTTTCACCCATCCTTTTCACCAACTTCACACTCATTCCCTTCTGTATTCAATAACTCAGTTCAAATGTCTTAAATATAAACTGAATTTTTAAATTATATTTAATGCATTCTAAAAATGATTTTATGGCGACATCTGACAACTCCTTTATGATATATTTTCCAATTAAGTGCCAAGTAAGAATAAACTTTGAAAATACCTTTTCCAATCGAGTGCCAAATATGAATAAACTTGTCATGAAACATGTGAATAAACTTATAGACTAATTGACTTATTAACGAAAAAAACATTTAATTTACAAGGAATAATAAAGAGTAAAAGGGTAAAAAAATTATAGTTTTATATTAGAATTAAATGAAGTTTAATTCTTTAAATAGTAGTACAATATTTTGAAAACAACATCCCTATATATACTAATTTTAACAGTTTACTGAATTCTTTAAATTGATCCTTTTTGCAGTTGAGTGAGAAAACAGAAGCAAGTATGGAATAAAACAGGTGAAAGTAAAATAAAAAGTTGGTAATGAATGGAAGCTAGTGGTAAAGCGGTGGAAGAAATAAGGAGGAATGATTAGGAGAGGGTGTTGAGAGTGGAGGAAAGAGACGATGAAGTGAAACATTTGTGGCAGGGTAGGAAACAAACAGATAAACTCCAACCAAGCAAAAGGCCCCAGCTATGATAAATTTGGAGCTGGACCCAACATTGTTGTTTGCAAAAGTTAAATATAATATATTATAGTACTTGTATAGAGTAAATCAATAGCCAATCAAGACACACCCTTCTTCGAGTGAGTGATGAACCTTTGATCAACCTTGTGCAGCCAGGTGTAAGCATCAATCCCAGTTAATCGAAATTGGGGACCCGACCACGTGCTTTCCATCGGACCATTCTAACTGTCCAAACGCACTCACTCTCTGCTGTGCAGCACCCGAGGAAGAGGAGAACGTTACAGTGAAAGACTTTTTCTCATTTTCTTTGAAAAACAGCGTTTGCGGTTCAACCGAGATTTTCACCGATGCTGTGTCTGATGTCACTGAGGCCTTGTATGTTCCCGCAGGCCCCACATTAGTGAGAGTCCGCGTATGCTTAACCACGCTGGATCCACTAACTGGTTCAAACAACACCGCAAACGAAGGGTAGTTAAGGTCGTTCACACTGTACTGCTTGCCGGAGTCGCACTGATATTTTCTCTTAGCCAGGGTGTTGATTTCGGCAGCAGAGTAGTTTAACGCGCAGAGAAAACCAAGATAATCATCTACTGTTAGATCGTAGACCAGGCCTGGGTTTAGGGCAGCCACGGGATCCACGTGTCCCGCTCCGTGATCGAACGGTGTCGAGGGTTTTCCTGTTGCACTGTCCTGCAACTTCGCACCGGTTTTGTACACTGTGTAAGCCGTTGTCATGAGAGCCGATCGAACCGCGGCTGGGCTCCACTCAGGATGAGCCGATTTGATCAAGGCGGCTAAACCGCTGACGTGAGGGCAAGACATGGACGTGCCAGAGATGATGTTGAAATCCACGCGCCTGTTATCAACGGGCAAACCGGTGGGACCCACGGCCTTGGACCATCCCGCTAAGATGTTGACACCTGGTGCGATCAGATCTGGTTTCAGGATCTGCGGCGTGATCGAATTCGGACCTCTTGAACTAAATGCTGCAACCACAGGTGATGGCTGAATCCCCACCTTGGTTCCCTCGAACAAAATCCTCACCGTCGGTTTCCCCTCGGAAAACAAATATTTCTTGATAGCGTCACCGGCTTTCTCCCCAACCGCAGACGCCGGCAAGAGATGAGCATCGGCCACCAGCTCCTCGCCATTGGCGGCGGTGTTGCTCAACACCATGCCCAAAGCTCCGGCGGATTTCACCACCGAACCTTTCTGAACCCTAGCGGTTAATCCACGGTCACATAACACAATCTTTCCGGCTACTTTCTCCGGCGACAAGGTTCCCGTTAAGCATAAGTTCCCATTCGTAGCATTGCTGGCATTCCCTGCGTAAACAAACGGTAACGCTGAATCAGGTAAAGCGTTACCTCGGTATAGCGACACGCCGGAGAAGTTAAGTCCATTCCCGAGAACAACATTAGCAGGGAAGTCACGATCGAGTGTACCAGCACCCACGGTAGTAATCCAAGGGGCCACATTAGAGAGACTGTAAGGACTAGGCCCCGCGTTCCCAGCGGAGCAAGAAACTAAAATCCCCTTCTCCATCGCGGAAAAAGCTCCAATAGCGACACTGTCTCTGTAATAATCAGCCATGCCACCACCGAGCGACAACGACAACACATTAACGTTGTCATCTATCGCCCTCTCAATCGCGGCAAGAATATCCGAACTGAAACACCCTCCCTTCCAGCAAACCTTGTACACAGCGACTCTCGCGCGCGTGGCCATCCCACGCGCCGTCCCGGAAGCGTAACCAAAAAGACTTGCGCCCGAAACCACCGACCCCGCGGCTGTGCTGGCGGTGTGGGTGCCATGACCGTCGTCGTCGCGAGGGGATCTCGACTCCTCAGTCTCGTTAATGGGACCCAACATGGCCTCGCAACCCTTGGCAAAGAACCTGGCTCCGATCAACTTTCTGTTGCAGTTGGAGGCGCTGAAATTTGTTCCCGTTTCGCACTCGCCTTTCCAGTTACTGGGAACAGGTCCAAGCCCGGTGTCGTCGAAGCTTTTACTCTCGGGCCAAACACCAGTGTCTAGGACTCCGACGATGACGTCACTCGCAGAACTCGAGTCGGGGAATATGTCCGCGCTCTTGTCGAGTCCGAGGAACTGCGGCGTCCTCGTTGTGTGAAGTTCATACCTCATCTCCGGTAGCACCGCCAGAATCCCCGTCTGGCTTTCCAGCAAACGCGCCTCCTCCGCAGTTAACCTAGTCGCGTATCCGTGGATAGCGCTATCGTAGGTGTAAATCATTTCCGCTGAGTCAGACACAGATTTCAGCGAGGACTCATACCACACCGCATGGTGCTCGAAGCTTTGGGGCATTTCCGATTTGGCCACGTGTACGATGTAAGTAGTCCTCTCCGGTTCTGCCGCCTGAGCCACACCATGGAGACCCAGAAACAGAAGAAGGGAGAGAATCTGAGGCAAAGATCTGCGAAGTGAACCCATGAGAGAGCAGAGAGCGAGGGAGAGAGATGAGAAATGAGAAATAGATGTGGTGATTTTAAGGAGTAATGTTTTTAATGCAATCTTTATGGGAGTGTGCCAGTTTAGCAAGGTGGTGATAAAAAGTAATAAAGGGTGGGTGGTTGTCTGCTTCTCAAAATAATTGCTTTGAGACAAAGGTGGAGAAAGAGAGTGGGGATAGTGCACAGATCTTTGATTTGGTTCACATGTGCGTTTACGACCGTTGTCTCTCCATTACTCCCTTCTGAAGGGCACCACTTTCTTATATTACTCCTTATTTTACTTTTTTTTTTTATTATTTCTCTGGCTTTTTGCCTTTTCCCTGCTTTCGCTTATTAAAGTCTTGTTATACTTTGGCTTTTAACACGATCCTACAGACCATCCGTCATACTATCACGTTCTCCAAACGTAACTTCCTACACCAATCCTTGACCTACTAACCTTCAACTGCGTCCTTTTACCTATATTGTTTTTATACCATACTTATTTATGCATACATACACGCATGCCGTGCTAGAGACAGTGAAGATAAGGTGCAGCTCAAAATATTGTAAAAAATACTAGGTTGGTTTCACGGGTATTTATCTCTAGTGTACATTTACACAATCTCCACTACAATTTATTAAATGAGAGATATTTAGTAAGGTTTGGTTTCCACCTTATGCTCGTTCTTTCTCTCTTTTCATTTCCTCCTCAGTTAAGAAACTGTTGCACGGATTACCAAAGTCAAGAAATTTCAGTCACGGGCTTTCTTCTTTGCTCCGAATTCACAAGAATCGACAACAAACACAGGACGACTTGTTTCTTAAACAACCAACTTTGTCTGTTTTTCTGAATAAATATCCACACTTTTTTGTTTCTACTCCGACTATGACGTGAATATACCCTTCCCCCACTAATTTGACTTGGGTAATATGATTCTCATTAATTTTTCTTATTCATGTAAATCAAATAAAAATCTTATTTAATGACAATCAAAGCGTTGGTCCTCCTCCAATCAAGTTGGTTGTTGGAACAACCTATTAGTATTTAATAAGTAATTAATAACTTCTCCTATATACTGTTATTTGTTTTAATTTATTGTAAAAATAAAATTATGAAAAATAAAATTATTAGTTTATTTTTCTTACCACTTAATTAAGAAAAAACAACTGATAAGATTAAATTTGAAATAGTTTTGGCTCATTGTGGACATGTTAAAAAATGGATTTGGAGCATGGTATACTCATTTTATATGGATTAAAAAAATATATATTCTCCTACCTCTATGATTGAGATGACCTGCAAAAACAATAAAAATAAAATAAAATTCTTAAAGCTTAAAATTATTTTCTCATCTAACAAATTATATTATTCTATTTAATTTCTCTAATTGCTTCATTTAAGTTTATAGATATATTTCTCACCCAAAAAGGAGGAAAATAATTAATTTAGGGTTAAGGGGAAGAGGAGAAAAATAAACATTTAATTTAATTTTTCATTTATTTTTAATTATTTTATTTTTTTCATCCTTTTTAATTCTTTATTTAAAACCTGGGAAATACACGACCTACAAATAATAACTTACACTTTTTTTCCTTGAAAGATGACATTCATACTCATAACCAAACATGGTAACGGTCTTCGAGGCTATGATATCGCTAAAATAATTGTCCCAAAGACACATTACCTTGATTGAGATGACTTGTGAAGTACATTCTCAATCAATTCAACTTTACACGTTTTGCTATCAAAATATTTATAATGAAAGGTTTAAACATGGCTTTCAATTAAAATGTGTATAAAATCAATTAAATATACTTAATTTATTCATATGAAAATTAATGGACATTTAACAGTTAATGAATTATACTTAGTTTTGTTTTACTTGTAGCAATATTTTATTGTGTACATAAGTTAACATTATTTTAATTTTTTAACACAGATAATTCAATTTTACTTTTTTTTTCATATGATTTTATTAATGATGAATTCAGATATTCGTTAACAAGAGTTAAAACATTGTCTAAATGAGTAAAAAACTGGCAGTTTATGCTTTGTGGTATATAATTCCTAAAGTATGTTATCAGGGATTGATGTTCGCCTTTTTTATATGAAAAAAATTTATTAGAAATTCTCTTTGACGAATTTTAATATTTTCAATGCTTAGTGTTTGACTCTTAGTCCTGGGATATCATAATTTTTTTTTAGCCTGTTAAACATGATATGATACTATTTAAATTTATTAGCATTAGTCTAAAAAAATAAACAACTTCGTTGACCAAAAAATTCATTACATTGAGAAAGTACAAAAATTGTTTATTTTCTCAATTAAATTTTTTTTCCTTGTTTGTTTTCCTAGAAAAAAAATTGTTATAAGAAAAATATTTACTTAGTTACCTAGTACGTCAAAAGAATGGATAAAAAAAGTGACTCTCTTATGTTTTATTTTAGCCTCTTTTTTTTTAAATACTTTTTTTCTCTAGTTTTTATTCTTGTATTAACATATAATAATGTAACTATCACGTTAACGACCTCACAATTTGTAATATTTTGAAACAAAATAATATAATAATTAATATATAATTTTTTATAATTTGTATCATTAATCTTTACATCTGTGCAAATCAATTCAATTTAAAATATTATTTATAAAATATGACACTGTTATTCCATTAGATTATTACATGATTTAACAATTTATTATTGGACTAATAATGTACTTCTTACGCTACAATCAAATTTATTACTTAACCTAAAAAACACTAAAAAAAATTAAAATCTTGTAATTAAGAGAAAATAGAACAAATATAAACCAAATAAAAGAAAATAGTGAGAGTATCAGTACTTCTCAAAAGTAGTGATAGAAATAAAATAAAACGTACAAATATTTATATTAATATAATATATTTTTAATATAAATTTATAGATAATAATTTATATTATGTAGTACATCGTGTGTGCTACAGCGGATTTTTTTAATACATAGGGTCATTATCCTTAAATAATTTATTTATATATTTATAATTTTATTATCTTAAATTTAATAATTATTAATATATTTTTTATATTTATAATTTTAATTTAATTTTTATTTATTTATTTATTTATTAATAATATATTATTTAATTCTAAATTCTTTATTATATCTGTTTTTGACTATGAAATAAGTAAAAATATTTATTCTCACAGGTAAATACAAGAATAATATATTTATTATGATAAAATTGACTTTAAATAAAATTAATTTTTAAATAAAAAATAATATACAAGACAGTTTAACCGAGATGAATGAGAAACTATTTATAATTAGTAACTTTTTATTATTTCTAATCAACATGTTTATTTGTCTATCTAAAATCCACATTTATTTAAAAATTGCCAAGAAATAGTTATAAAAACATCTACTTTCTAACTTTTGCTTATTTACTTAAAGTTCTTTGAAAAGATTCAAAGGCCGTAAAAACAAAATATAATTTTACTTGAACAAGTGAAAATTTATATATGTACATATTTGAAACATACACAACTCAGATTTTAAACAAGACCTCAACATACTCACTCATACAATTAAATCACTTTTTACTTCTCTCCATTGTAACCATTGGATAAAAGAGTGATGCATGGAACATTTCAGTGCCTCATGACACGTTTTTTAATATACCTTCCTTCACAGTTACTCTCTGTAAAGAAGTTACAAGTACTAGTTGCATAGTTGCATTATGTTACGTTATGATTATGATTATGATGGTATTTATCTCTTTCACTTCATCATCTCTATTTCCCTTTCACGTGTTCTGAAAAGATATAGATGATACTCGTAAATGACATCTTCCTCCGCACATGAATCACAGGAGCGTCATCATCGTGAATTGTATGATGAGATAGATACCGTATGAAACCATCTCTTAACCGTTTTTTTCAACATCAATAAGGCTCGTAATCATTTAGTTTTTTTAAAATATATATCAACAACAACAGCGCATTTTTCAACTCATTGCTATGACACTGTCGCATAAATTCTATAATGAACTTGAATGGTATAGTCTAATTCATAATCTGATTCATGATCTGATTCATAGTCAGTACGTAGTGATGGTTGGAATAGTGGGTAAATATAGATTGATAAATAAATTTTATGAAGAATTTAAATAAAAATGATGTAAAAAGATTTAGGGGATGAAATTAATTAAAAACCTAAAATTAGGAATTAAGAATAAAATAGAAAAAATTTAAAAAATAAAGAAAAACGTCATAATGTTTAAGAATAATTGTATCAAATAATTTAATAAATTTAAAGATCATCGGGTGAATTTTTAATAAGATTAAATATGTAAAGAGAAATTTTAACATAAATATCCTAAAAAAGATACTCGTGACAAATTAATCTTCCATTATATTTAAATAATATAAAGTTTATATTCCTTATCTACAATATTCAAAGTTCATCTACCATTTTTTCTCTTATGATAAGCTATTTGCAGGATAAAAAATTTTGTTAGGTAGATCAATAGTATTTACAAACCCATTTATTATCATTAGGTTGTTAAATTCCTTGAATGGAAAGAAGTAATGAACAAAGAGTTAGAAACCTGGATATCAAAAACACATGGGATATTGTTCATTTACAAGAGGACAAGAAGACTAGCTATAAGCTAAGCTGTAAGTGGATTTAAAAAGTAACATATAATGTTGATGATTCTTTACCTAAAAGAAAAGCCAAACTTTTTGCTTGTGGATTTACACAAGAAGCAGGTATAAATTTTCTTCTTTTTTCCTAGTTGCTACTATCACTACTCTTAGAGTTTTTTTTTTTATCTCTTACAACCATTAAGTAGTGGACTTTTATACAATTAGATGTGTAAAATACATTTATGAATGGATATCTAGATGAAGATGTTTATATGAAAATACCTCAAAGTTACAATTTAAAATATTAGGATCAAAGTAACCTTGTGTGTAAACTGAATAAATTTTTAAGATAAGCCTCACGTCAGTGGTTT